ATAAATAAATTTGCATTTCTTTTATTTCTCCTATTTGCTCCTTACTCCTCTAAAATCAAGATTCTATGCAAGCTGCTTAAACTGTTCTCACAGAGACTATGACCAACATTAATGTATAACCACTTTTAGCCTTTTAAATATAATGATCCTTGGAAGGTTCAATCTATGGCAAAATTTATACTAATCCTACTTCCCATATCATGTTTATTAATCTCTGGCTTTCACATGCTGACTGATTCCAGAGTAATTCATAGTTCTGTCTCCATTATCTAGGACTATTCTGTCCAATATGGTAGCCACTAGCCACATGTGGCTATTTAAAATTAAATTAGGGACGCCTAGGTGGCTCAGTCCACTAAGTCCATCACTCACTCACCCAGTGAGTGCCTTTGGCTCAGGTCATGATCCCAGGGTCCTGCGAATGAGCCCTGCATTGGGCTCCCTGCTCTGCAGGAAGCCTGCTTCTCCCTCTGCCTGCCGCTCCCCTTGCTTGTGCTCCCGTGTTCTCTCTTTGACAAATAAATAAAATCTTTAAAAATATCATTATGATAAAAAATTCATACTCAGTGTAAAAAGCTCAAATAGCACCAAAGTGTACAAATTAAAAAATAAAAATCTTGGGCACCTGGGTGGCTCACTTGGTTAGGTGACTGCCTTTGGCTCGGGTCATGATCCTGGAGTTCTGGGATCGAGTCCCGCATCAGGCTCCCTGCTCGGTGGGGAGTCTGCTTCTCCCTCTGACTCTCCCTCCTCTCATGTGCTCTCTCTCTCTCTCTCATTCTCTCTCTCAAATAAATGAATGAAAAAAAATAAAAAATAAAAAAATAAAAATCTCCTATCGCTAACCATCTTCCTTCAGCCCCTCCCTAAACAATTATAGCTGGCATTTAGTGCTTACTCTTTGCCCGGAAGTACTCTAAGCACTTTTTAAACATATGTTAACTAATCTAAACCTTACTACAACCCAAAGAGGCAGATAGAATCATTATCCTTATTTTACTAAGAGAAAACTTGCACAGGTCGGGTTCTCTGGGAAGCCAACTCAAGAGGAAATTTAGAGTATAGTATGTTTATTCATTCAATCTAGACACCACTTACTCTTTTTTTTTTTTTTAAATGTTTTATTTTTACCTCTAAGCCAAACAATGATGAGGATTTCTTTTTTCTAATTTCTTCATGGGGCTGTTTTTTTTTTTTTAAGATTTTATTTATTTATTTGAGAGAGAATGAGAGATAGAGAGCACGAGAGGGAAGAGGGTCAGAGGGTCAGAGGGAGAAGCAGACTCCCTCAGAGGGAGAAGCAGACTCCCTGCTGGGCAGGGAGCCCGATGTGGGACTCGATCCCGGGACTCCAGGATCATGACCTGAGCCGAAGGCAGTCGCCTAACCAACTGAGCCACCCAGGCGCCCCTAGACACCACTTACTCTTGGGGAGCCTGGGTGGCTTAGTCAGTTAAGCGTCTGCCTTTAGCTCAGGTCATGATCCCAGGATCCTGGGATCGAGTCCCGCATCGGGCTCCCTGCTCAGCTGGGAGTTTGCTTCTCCCTCTGCCCTACCCCCCCCACCCCGCTTGTGTGCACTTGTGAGCATGCTCTCTCTCTCAGATAAATAAAATCTTTAAAAAGACAGTGTTTACTCTCAGTATGGACTAACTCCAGTACATGAATCATTAGAAGACTCGTTGAAGAAAGAGCAAAAGCAATAGATTTCACTCAAATAAAGAACATACCTGGGGCGCCTGGGTGGCTCAGTCGTTAAGCGTCTGCCTTCGGCTCAGGTCATGATCCCAGGGTCCTGGGATCGAGCCCCACATCGGGCTCCCCGCTCCGCGGGAAGCCTGCTTCTCCCTCTCCCACTCCCCCTGCTTGTGTTCCTGCTCTCGCTATCTCTCTGTGTCAAATAAATAAAATCTTTAAAAAAAAAAAAGAACATACCTTGGGGCGCCTGGGTGGCTCAGTCATTAAGCATCTGCCTTGGGCTCAGGTCCCGATCCCTGGGTCCTGGAATTGAGCTCCAAGGCAGGAGTCGGCTTCTTCCCCTCCCTCTGCTCCTCCCCCAGCTCGTGCTCTCTCACTTTCTCTCAAGTAAATAAATAAAATCTTTAAAAAGAAGAAAAGACAAAGAACATGTCTGTCTTCAGAAATGTATTAAAGTAGCACCAGAAAATGCTTGGTCTTCATGCTGCAGATAAGAATAACCCCAAAAGAAGAATAGAAAATTTATTTTGTTTCATGGAAAATCTGCTTGAACACTCTCAGTTCTTTCTAAGTATTTGACCCTTCTCAGGACGGTCCTGGGTCGTTGGCCTTGGCTCTCAAATCGGGCCCATTCTTTGTTGTAGATGAATAAATGGACATTCTGGCTTGTTATTTCTCCTCATGTGAAGTTGCTTGGTATGAAGTAATCCTCTGAGTAAACAGATAAAATTAAGTTCCTGGATTAGCAAAGCAGAGAGCAAACCATGGATCTGTAGTGACACCACCATGATCCCAAACTCCCATGAGGTAATACTCCTTTCTGAGATACTTCAGTTCCTTTGCCTGGATCATACCCTCATCATCCTCAAACTTGATTGGACTCCATTGAGGGATGCAACTATTGAATGATATTTCGAATAATATTGAAATATTTTTTGCTGACCTGTGTCACCAAAGCCCTTCCTGAAGGTTTTCATGAAATTTGTCTTTTGTTTAGCCTCTTGAGGCAGTACCCACTCTGTGTCTAAAATTGTGATTACTGTAGAAAAAATTATATTTTAAAGATTTTATTTATTTATTTGACAGAGAGAGACACAGCGAGAGAGGGAACACAAGCAGGGGGAGTGGGAGAGGGAGAAGCAGGCTCTCCGCAGAGCAGGGAGCCTGATGCAGGACTCGATCCCAGGACCCCAGGACCACGACCCAAGTCGAAGGCAGACGCTCAACCGACTGAGCTACCCAGGCATGCTGAAAAAATATATTTTAAAGTATATGACAAAAATCACTACTTTGAAGGTTTTTACCCTCCTATTCAAGAGAAAAGTCTTGTATGCATAAAACAATGAGCGAGCAGTTTAGTCATGTTTATAATCTAGTTTTCACTTGAACACAATTAAGTGCCAGTGTCACAATATAAAGCATAAATATTATAGGGTGTCAAAAGGAGAGCAATCATTATGAGATGAACCCATTAGGGAAAGTTTTTAAGGAAAAGACAGGATTTAAGGTGTATTCAGAATAGGTGGAGTCAGTGTATCAATCAGGACCTACCTACTGGTTGCAAGTGGTAGAAACCACTCAGATTAATTTAGGTAAAAAGAATTTACTGGTGCTTAGAAATCAGGGAAAGACTAAATGGCCAAGCCATGGGAAGATAACTGATGCAGCTGGGCCTCAGGAACAACTGGAACTGGCAATATAAATGCTGAATGGGTATCCTCCCATTACTGTTTCTCTCTGCACCTTGATTTTATTTTCTCTTACTGCAATCCATTCCCCGCCCCCCCACCACGGGGGTGTTACCAGTTAGCTCATGAGCTCCGCAGGAGCCATCAGGGTTAAAAGGACTATTTTCCAGTTTTAACCCTGGGAATAACCTGATCAACCTGACCACTGGACCAATCAGCTAAAGTGGGAGGAGAAGAGAGTCATAAATCCTTGCGACCAACAGTTTGGGAAGCAGAAGAGGGAGAAATGCTGAGCAGAAACAATGTTAACTGACTATGAGGAGGCATGAGTGTGGTTTAGGCAGATACCAGCTGGGCTGAAAAATTGAGGATAAGTATGAGTAGCATAGATGGAGTAGGAGATTATGGAGGGCTTAGAATTCATGCAGTGGAACGTCTGGAGGCCAGAGGAATTTGGTGTTCAGCTCTGGGTGCGACGTTTTAAAGTGGAAAAAGACAAAGTGTTGTATCCAGAATAGGGCAATCAGTAGACTGAATGTCAGTTTGTATAAGGGCAATAGCTATTGGGGGATAGATGGGTTTGGAGGGAAGGAGTGAAAGCTCAAAGATAGCCAAGAGAACTCAATAGGATTTAGGGTTAGTAAGAGGTTTAAGGAGCGGTTTTAAGGCAAGGATTTCCAGCTAGAAGGATGTAGGCATTTACAGAAACAGGGAACATAAGAGGAGTTAGTAAGGGTAAATACACATTCAGATTCAGACATATCTAATTTGAAATGCCAATGCTTTATCTCACAGCTGGAACTGCTGTCAAGAGATTGGAAATGTATGCTGGGATTTACGGAAGGAGATCAAATTGTACATAACTCATATCTGAGGGCGCCTGGGTGGCTCAGTTGGTTAAGCGACTGCCTTCGGCTCAGGTCATGATCCTGGAGTCCCGAGATCGAGACCCGCATCGGGCTCCCTGCTCAGCAGGGAGTCTGCTTCTCCCTCTGACCCTCTTCCCTCTCGTGCTCTGTCTCTATCTCATTCTCTCTCTCAAATAAATAAATAAAATCTTCAAAAAAAATAACTCATATCTGAAACTAGAAAAGAGGAAGGTGCAGTCTGGGCTTTGGAGACAACCCACATTTAAGGCTGGGGAAGAGAGTCAGTGGAGGAGGCCGCTGGGGCAAGGTTCTAGAAGGTAAGAGAACTAGGCAAGTGTAGAGTCTAGAAAAGTAAAAAGCAGAATTTCAAGAAAGAAGAGGTGGTGACGTGGAATCAAGGGGTGGAGGAAACTTGGAAAAGCCAATTGTGTTTGGTGAGGCCTTAACCTTGGAGAAGAATGGAGTTAACTGCCAGGGGTTACTACAATTCATTCAGATACTTGCTGAGAGCTTGATTCCTGCTAGTGCAGTGCTAATTGGTGGGGACAGGAGGAACAGCACAGTTCTGGACCCAAGAAGCTCACAGTGTGTCAGAGGAAGTGAGAAGTGAATGAATACTTAAGATACAATGTTCAAAATGCTCAAACTGAGGTGTGCACGAGATACAATATTAAGTCCTGCCGAGTGGGCGGCCCCACTGGGCGGGACTGGGCGGGACTGGGCGAGGCCAGGAAGGACGGTTTGCTGTCCAGGTGCAGGGTGGATCTCCTAAGATTCCGCGGGGGCGATTCCAGGGGATGGAGTCCTCTGAGGCCATGGACAGCTCTTAGGAGGTTGCGGGGAGTGGCGGCACCGGGGGACCCTGGCGCCCCGGGGTGAAAGGACGTTCGTAATATTTGGGTCCTATTTGAAAGATGCGAGGTGGAGATGGCAGCCTGAAGGAGGGATGCAGAAAGGGAAGGAGCCTCTCTAAATTCTCCTCCACTTTCTCACACAGAACAGAAAAGATCAGGAGGGGTGGAAGCCGAGCCCTTTGGGAGGCTAGTCGACCAAAAGCCTCAATTCGCCGGACTCCGGGTACCTCGTTACTCTGTTCCCGCCTGTACCTCGGCCGGAACTCTCTTGCCCCAAGGCTTGGTTCGGCGCCGGACAGGAAAAGCAGATGGACCCACAGGAGGAAAGCGGAGTACCCGGTCGGGAAAAGCGGGGACCCGGGTGGAAGCCGCTCTCGGGCGCCAGCGGAGAGGCCAGCGGGCGCCAGCGGGCTGTGGGGGGCAACAGCCCTAGCAGGTGAGGGTTGAGGGGGCCGCCTCGCCGCGGCATGGTCCGGACCGCTCCCCCGAATCAGATCGGGAGTTAAACACCGGGGCTCTAGAGTTTCGTTTTGCCTCTTACTAGCTGTGTGACCTCCAGTAATTTATTCTTGGAACCTCCTTTTCCTCGTCTCTGTAATCGGAATAGTAACAGTACCTCTCAGGGCAGTTGTGAGGAGTCAATGAACTATACTTGGAACGGTTTCGGGCGCGTGGTCAGCCCTGGCTATAAAGTCTGGACGACTGCTGTCTTTTAGCCCCGTGGGTTAGGTTGCGGTAAAAAATGACCAACTTCGGCCCGGGGTCATCCAGTTGATGGGTTTTACTTTATGTTTATTGGTAAAAACACGGAACAAAAATTTATAATTAAAGCTATATTATTAGAGAAGTAACAGCACTACTGAGGGCTTGGAAAATACGGTGAATAATATTACAATCCCATCAGCCTATATACGACTTTAAGGCTTTTTTCTTTTTTTCTCCCTCAAATCTTTTTTTTGTCGGTACATTTTTACGTTTGTAATATTAGTATATATGCAATTTTGATTCCTCCTTATTTGCCACTTAGTGTAGCCTGCGGATGGGGTTCACGAGAATCATTTTTATGATTGTACAAATTCCATTTTATCGGATTATCATGTTTCCCAAATTCCTTTATATGTAGAGGTAAAATTAATTAAGCACAAGCAGCGAGGGAAATTGAAATATTACCTATGATTCCAGGACCTCAGATCAACTAATTTGCCTGGTTGCCTTCTTTTTTTTTTTTTTTTTTGGTGGGGCAGAGGGAGAAGCAGACTCCTGCTGAGCAGGGACCTCCCCGCCCTCCCCCTCCCACTGGATCCCAGGACCCCAGGATCATGACCTGAACCAAATGCAGACGCTTAACTGACTGAGCCACCCAGGCGCCTCTACCATTGGTCTTAATAGAGCTGAGGTCATTGGCCATGGATGTGAGTAGAAGTTAGGTCAGGGAGTTGGGCCTTGTGTACTATTTTAGGAGTTTGAATTTCTGGGGGAGGAATTGCTGACTTATAAGGGGAGTGCATTTGTGTTTAGACACATCCCTTTTATTGTTGCCAGGCAAAGGGTGGATTGGGAGAGGTAGAGATCAGAGTCAGGGAGATGAGTTAGGACTTTGCTACTTAAAGAGTGTGCAGTGGGCCAATGATGAGAGCATCACCTGGGAGCTTGTTAGAAATGCAGAAGGTAAAGGATGTCTAAGTTGAGTACCAAAGGATAAGTTAGCTAGGCAAAATCCGCGGAGGGCACTCCTGGCCTGGGAGCAGCAATCTGCCAAGGCCTGAAACCCAGAGAAGGACTATTGGTTGGCACTTGTTGGACTGCAAGTCTTTATGGTTATTGGAGCAGAGAGTGGAATGTGACTAAGGTGAGGCTGTGTAGGTGAATGGAGGCCAGATCTGGAGGAGTCTTAGAGACCCTGTGGAGAAAATTGGGCTTTATTCTGAAAACCATGAGGGAGCCCTGGAAGGTGTTTTTCTTTTGTTTGTTTTGTTTTCTTTTAAGATTTCACTTAATTTACTTGATAGCCCGTGCAAGCACGCCTACAAGCAGGGAAAGCAGGGGGAGAAGCAGGTTCCCTGCTGAGGAAGGAGCCCGATGCGGGACTTGATGCTAGGACCCTGGGATCAGGACCTGAGCCAAAGGCAAACCCCCAACTGACTGACCCAGCCATCCACGCACCGCCCCCCCCGGAAGGGTTTTAGTCAGAGAAGATAAATGATCAGTTTTGTGTTTTAGGCCCTTTTAGATGCTGAGTGGAGGGACGAGGTAGAGGTGGTGGCTGCAAGCCTGGAGGCAGGAAGCAGAGTACAGTGATTTAGAAGAGAGAAAGTGGGGATCCATTTAATGTGGGGCGTGAGGGAGGAGGGGCATTCTAGAAGGATGACCACTTTTGTGTTTTAGTTAGTGGTCTGGGGGCCATTTTGATGTAGACTCTTGGGCAGTTGAGGCAGGTAAGCCAGGTTGTTGGATTTTGGCATTTTTGAGGCTTTTTGCTTTTGTTTTCAGTGTACTGTTTAGTTCCTCATTCAGCTCCATGTTCTGACTAGTGGGTGAATTTTTGTTTGTTTTTCCTCTCTCCTGGTCTTTGGGCCAAAACAGGAGAATAAAGAACTTGGCATTGCATATTTTATTCCTTTTAGGGGTAGCTGGAGTAAGTAGAAGAGAGGACTGTTTAGCCAGAGTTGTTATTTTACGAGAGCTATAGAACTTATTGCTGATGTTTTCGTTGTTGTTTTTTATTTATTTAAGATTTTATTTATTTATCTGACAGAGACACAGCGAGAGAGGGAACACAAGCAGGGGAAGTGGGAGAGGGAGAAGCAGGCCCCCCGCTGAGCAGGGAGCCCAATGCAGGGCTCGATCCCAGGACTCTGGGATCATGACCTGAGCCGAAGGCAGACGCTTAACGACTGAGCCGCCCAGGCACCTCTGTTGCTGATGTAGAGGCAGGTAGAGGCAGCAGCACGTAGTAGAAGGACTTAAGGCTAGGGTTCTAGTTTGAGCTTCCATACGGATTAGCATTGTCAGCTTAGGCAAGTCACTTCACCTGTTGGTGTCTGTTTCCTAGAAAAAGGAAATATCTACCTGATTTGTCTTACAGGAGCCTTGTGTGCATTCAGTCAGATAATATATGTCAGGTGGTTTGAGAATATTAAGATTGGCATTTAAATGTGATGGTATTGGTGTTTTTGTTTAGGTTCTAGATTTGAGGAGCTCAGATAGTAACTGATAGTCTAAGCCTTGCTACTCAAAGTGTGGACCTTGAACTAGGAGTTTGTTAGACATGAAGACTCTTGGGGGTTTATCAGACTTATTGGATCAGAGAACACTCTTACAGCCGTCATTCATTCCATTTGATCTTCAGAAGAATCCCTTAAGGTAGGTAGAGGAGATGTTAACACAGCCTTACCCCCAAGGAAGTGGAGACTTCAAAAGATCAATAGCTTTACCTGAGGATAAAGAGGTTGATTAGGTTTAACAGTCTGAAATTGCCAATATTCACAATACTCATAACCTAATAAATGGGCACGTTTTCTGACTCCATATGCAGTGCACACTGTAGTCCCTCTTTTTGTAGACAAAGTGCTAAAATGTCAGTTAGCCTAGGTGTGGAGTGATTTAGTTGAATGTTCTATTTTAGGAATCAATGATTTCTTTAAAAATCCAGTGTAAAAATTTTCTCTAAGATTGACACAACTTTGGGGCGCCTGGGTGGCTCAGATGGTTAAGCGTCTGCCTTCAGCTCAGGTCATGATCCCAGGGTCCTTGGGATCGAGCCCCACATCGGGCTCCCTGCTCAGTGGGGAGCCTGCTTCTCCCTCTCCCTCTGCCTCTCCCCCTGCTTATGTTCTCTCTCTCTCTCTCTTTCTGTATCTCTGTGTCTCAAATGAATAAATAAAATCTTTAAAAAAAAATTGACACAACCTTTTGAAGTGCATAATTGAATTATTTTAGGGTCAGTAATTAACTCCATGAACGAGGCCCGTGTTTCTTTCCCTTTCTGCGTTTTTTCACAAGGCAGAGGGATGTTTTACATTCAGTGCAAACAATATTCTGCTCATAGTAAGGCCCTGGGTAAATGTTGACAGAACTAGAAAATAAGTTCCTGAATTTCACAATACATGATCTGTGTTGCATTTGAAATTGTGATGCATTCATTGCTACCCTGGTAACTGTTCAATGTCTCTTCTGTTCTAGGTGGAATTGGGCTATTTGCTGAAGCTTCTTTCCCTCGTAGCCCAGGGAGAAATTTACATTTGGACTTTTATCTTACCATGGCTTTGGTTCACAGATTTCTGAATGGGGCTTATATTTTCAGACATTGTCCTAAGCCAAGTGCCTCATGTCCATTTTTGGGTACTCGTTTTGCAGACTATTGTTCTAGTAGTCTTCAGAAACCCGTGGCTGCTCCTGGCAAAACCTCCTCTCAGAGGAATTCTGAAGGGGATTTGCAAGGACATCACCAGAGAGAAGTTGCTTTGGATATAACCTCTCCTGAGGAGAAGCCTGAAGTTAGTTTTGATAAAGCAATTAAAGATGAAATAAAGGACCATTTTAGGCGTTTGAAGGATGATCTTGTGAATCATTGGATAGGCCCTGAAGGCCGCCCTCTGCATGAGGTCTTGCTGGAACAAGCCAAGGTTGTCTGGCAGTTCCGTGGAAAAGAAGATTTGGATAAGTGGATAGTGACTTCTGATAAGACTATTGGAGGCAGAAGTGAAGTGTTCCTGAAAATGGGCAAGAATAATCAGAGTGCACTGCTGTATGGAACCCTGAGCTCTGAGGCGCCTAAGGATGGGGAAAGTGGCCGCAGTGGGTACTGTGCAATGGTAGCCAGGAGTCCAAGGGTAAGTGAAGCCCCAGAGCCTCTGTTTTCTAGTGACCTGCAGTGAATTCCACTGTAGCACGAACCAGAGCACATGGCTTTGTTTCTGTAAATGAACATACCTGGCAGGCCGTCTGGGCATGGGGTTAAGTAACGACTGGGCACAGGTGTAAAGCAGAAGCATAAGGGGGAAGTGGTTCCTGAGCAGGGGGTACTTGTTTCTGGGCATCACTCTGGGCCAGGGTGGGGCCATTCTTATGTTTGAGGAGCCCTGAGAAGTCAGACATTTGAACAATGATTTGGGGAGATTTGCATCTTCTCTTTTTTTTTTAAAGATTTTTTATTTATTTTTTGACAGAGAGACAGTGAGAGAGGCAACACAAGCAGGGGGAGTGGGAGAGGGAGAAGCAGGCTTCCCACTGAGCAGGGAGCCCAATGTGGAGCTCGATCCCAGGACCCTGGGATCACGACCTGAGCCAAAGGCAGTCGCTTAACCGACTGAGCCACCCAGGCGCCCCGCCCCTAAACTTTCTATTTTAGAACAGTTTTAGTTTTACAGAAGAATTGTACAGGTAGTACAGAAAGTTCCATATGTCCCTCACCCATCTTCTCCAACTGTTGCCATCTTACATTGCTATAGTACCTTTGTCACAACTAAGAATCTGACATTGGTACTATTAACTAATTCCAGACACTATTTGGATTTGACTAGTTTTTCCACTGTCCCTTTTTTGTTCCAGGATCCCATCTGGGACACCACATTACATCCAGTTGTCATGTCTCCTTAGGCTCCTTAGTCTCCTCTGGTCTGTGATAGTGTTCTAGTCTTATTTTTCATGAGGATTTGAGAAATCCTGGTCAGGTATTTTGTGGAATAACCCTCAATTTGGGATTTTCTGATGTTTTTTCTCCTGGTAAGACTGGGTTTCTGGGTTTTTAGGAAGAATACCACAGAGTTGAAGTACCCTTCCCATCCCTCATACCAGGGGTACATGCTAGCAACCCGACTTAACACTGATGTGTTCACCGTGATCACCTAGCTAAGATAGTGTTTGCCAGGGTACTCCATTATTAAGTTACTTTTTTTTTTTTATTCTTTCCATACTCTGTTCTTTGGAAGCAAGTCGGTAAGTGCATCCTACATTCAAGGCATGGGATAGGGCATGGGATTAAGTTGTATCTCCTGAAAGGGGTGGTATTTACATAAATTATTTGGGATTCTTCAGAGAGGAAGATTTGTTTCTTCACCCACATTTATTTTAGGCAGTCATTTTGTATGGACTCGCACTTCCGGTTATAATCCAATACTATGTTATTTATTTTGTTGCTCAAATTGTTCTAGCTTTGGCCATTGGCAGCTCTTTCAGGTTGGCTTTTGTCCCTTTGCCATGCCTCCATTTTTTTTGTTTTTTTAGCACTTTCGTACACTACAAGATGCTCTAAGCACATCTTGTATTTTCTCTGTCCCAACCCTAAAATTAGCCATTTCTCGAAGGAGCCCTGGTTCCCTTTTTTGGAGATCTGGGCTCTGGGTATGCTTGTTGCTACTGGGTTGACATTACTTCCAGGACCTCTCAGTGGACACAGCAGGAAATACAGGGATGTGTACCAACCCAGTGGAAACACGTCTGCAATTATTTCTATATCTGTAGTAAACTAAATATGAGTTCATACTGTGCTCTGACTCTAATCCAGTGCCATGTGGTTCATTCTGGGCTTCTCCCTCTTGCTGATCTATAATTTCCCTCTGTAATAGTGAGAAACCTGTCTCCCATCATTTACCATCAGCTTACCTATTAATTCGACCCCAGTGTACATACAAAGCAGTTTCAGAACTTTTAACCTGTAACCCTGTGAGAAACAAGTTTACCAACCAGAATACAGTGTCAGTATATAGTTTCTTTTGTCTTTAGCTTTAGAGTTTCCAATCAGAACACTGTTTTCCACAGTCACTTCCATTGCCTCCTTTGTCTTACCACCAACCTATGGCTTTTGGGAAATTTGCTGACCAGCTGTTGTTCCAGGGCTGCCTGGACAGGCCCCCATGCCTTGGCCTTGGCCACAGCCTCTGGATGCTTGCTTGGATATTGTGCTCTAAGGAGAAAGGCAAATGTTAGGAGTCTTAGGCTCCTTCTCTCCAGATAATGATGGGAAAGAAAGGTATGTGTTCTTGGAGAGACCTCTGCTTACAAAGATTTTTTTTTTTCAGTGCCTGAAATCCACAGAATGGATTTGGTCATTCCACAGTAGAAAATAATTCTACAGCTAGATACACACTGGGGTATTGAAAATAGGTGATAAAATTTATTAAGTGTGCCTTGCCAGTCCTTGTGCTACTTTATATACATACATATATACATATAAAACTCTCCTCTAAGGTGTGGTCATCTTCATTTTACAGATGAGGAAACTGAGGTTTTGGGAGATTTAGTAACTTGTCTAAGGTTATACAGCTAGTTGGGGCACCTGGGTGGCTCAGTTGGTAAAGCAACGGACTCTTGGTTTTGGCTCATATCGTGATCTGAGATTGAGCCCCTCGTGGGCCTCCGAGCTCATGTGGAGTCCGCTTGTCCTTCTCCCTCCCCCTCTGCTCCTCTTCCCCACCCCCCACTCCTGTTCCTGGTGTGTGCATACACTATTTATTTATTTATTTTTTAAGATTTTTTTTTTTATTTGTCAGAGCGTGCACGCACAAGCAGGGGGAGTGGCAGGCAGAGGCAGAGGGAGAAGCAGGCTCCCCGCTGCATGAGGAGCCCAATGCTTGACTTGATCCCAGGACACTGGGATCACGACCTGCCTAACTGAGTGAGCCACCCAGGTATCCCACTCTTTCTCTTTAAAATAAAAAAATTAAATCTTTGGGGAAAAAAAATTATACAGCTAGTAAATAATAGTTCATATGTGAGCACTGCTATTCTTGAAATCAGATTATCTTTGAGACTAGTATAAATGAACACCTTTGTTAATTAACACTAAATTCCACTTTCCCTAAGAGAGACAGTTTTTAGTTAGATAGTTAAGAATACAGATTTTGGAGTTAAATGGCACTGGTTCTACCACTTCCTATTTGAGTGCTCATTTTCTTCATCTGTAAGATGGAGCACAATGATATGATAGTACCTATCTCATTGGGCTGTGAGGGTGAAATTATGCCTGCACAGTGCTTAAGATAAGTTTTCAGTGGATGTCAGCTATTGTTATAAAATAGCAGTTTTAAAACTTGAGCTCTTTCATAGTTTTCTGATTTATGGGAAGGCAGCTGTCATGCCCACTCAGAATCTATTGCTCCATAGGACTGGGGGAAAAAAGGTACATACAGTAATTTGTTTCCATTCATTGATACAAGTGAGTGCCTACCTCATGTCAACACTGTCCTGGGCCAATCATGTCTGGAATATTACCTTAGAAACGTAAAACTGTGTCAGTATATATATATTTTTTTAAGATTTTATTTATTTATTTGACAGAGACACAGCAAGAGAGGGAACACAAGCAGGGGGAGTGGGAGAGGGAGAAGCAGGCTTCCCGCAGAGCAGGGAGCCTGATGTGAGACTCGATCTCAGAACCCTGGGATCACGACCTGAGCCCAAGGCAGACGCTTAACTGACTGAGCCACTCAGGCGCCCCCTCTGTCAGTATTTTGTACTAAAATAAGAATCACCGGATTTATCTGCCTCCTTATGGTGGTGGAAAGCCAAAAAAGACAGAAAAATGCCTAGTGGATCCTTTTGATGCTGCAAAAGGTGATGACTCACATTTTGCTAACAGTGGAAAATGAGATGAAATTAATTTTCGTTTCTGTACCGTAGGGCCCTTTTGAGAGAAAGAGGGCTTATGATTGGTCCCAGTTCAACACTCTGTATCTCCGTGTACGTGGAGATGGTCGGCCTTGGATGGTGAATATCCGAGAGGACACGGATATAATCCAAAGGAAGAATCAGATGTACAGTTACTTCATGTTCACCCGTGGGGGGCCCTATTGGCAGGAGGTCAAGGTAACAGCACAAGTCTTTACTGTGTATGAAAATGAAGTCTTTTTTTTTTTTTTTAAGATTATTTATTTATTTGAGAGAGAGTGAGAGAGAGAGCCCAGAGGGATAGAGTCAGAGGGAGAAGCAGACTCCCCGCCGAGCAGGGAGCCCGAAGTGGGACTCAATCCCCGGACTCTGGGATCATGACCTGAGCCGAAGGCAGTCGCTTAACCAACTGAGCCACCCAGGCGCCCTGAAAATGAAGTCTTGAGATCATGATTACACTGTAGTTTGTTTCGCTTATTTTCCTTATTAAGCCCTCTTGGAAGGTGTGGAAAGGGAAAGAATGAAGATGACCTAGGGGTGAGATTTATACAATTGATTTTTTTCTTTCCTTAATATAAATGTTTCCTAACCAGTAAATATTTTTGATAAAGATGTGGCCAGTTCCATGCTAAGTCATGGGTACATCTCTGCTTTGGGCTCAAGTAGATATTTAAGTTTCTGCCATATCCCCTCTTCCAGGCAACTCTACTAAGAAGGCTCCCTTAAGAACAATAAATTCTTCATATTTCACAATCATGAAATTTTTATTTCTTGGTAATAAAATACTTTGTCAGAAGAACCTTTGAGAAGTTAAAAAATGTTAACTTGGAGGAAAATAAGTAGAAATTCAGGGAATGAATTTCAACTGCCTAGTCTTTTTTTACACCTACTGAATGGTTTTTAATCCATAAACTCAAAAGAAAGTCCCCATTCTGCTTAGACTTAAACCTAAGGGTCATTCTGGATTCCTTTCTCCCTCATCCCACATACAGTCTGTTAGCAAATCTTGTCACCTATTCTTCTGAAATACACCCAGAGTCTGACCATTTCTGGCCATCTCTCCCACTGTCACCCTAGTCCAGGCCCTTAGATTACTACAGCAGCTTCTTTATTGATGTCCTTTGTTCTCTTGCCCCCTAAAATCCACTCTCCACGCAGCAGCCAGAGTGATCTAACGCATAATGCACATTACATCACTCACATGCTTAAAACCCTCCAGTGGCTTCCCCTTACATTTAGCATAAAGCCCAGACCCCTTAGCATGGCCTACTGGGCCTACAGTATCGGACCCCTGTCTTTATCCTCAGTCTCCTGCCTACCTCCCTCCTCCACACTAGCCACTTTTCTGTGTGTCAGACCCAGCGAGCTCACCTCCATCTCAGAGCCTTTGTACTTCTGCTGATACGCTCTTCCCCCATATCTTCACCTTCCTCTTTCCTGTCATTCGCCTCTCAGCTCAAAATTCACCTCCGAGAAGCCTGACCTGCAGCTACAGTTGCACCCTTTAACCCAGTCACTTTGAGTAACACTACCCTGGTTTTTTTTTTAAGATTTTATTTATTTATTTGAGAGAGAGAGAATGAGAGAGAGCACGAGAGGGAAAGGGCCAGAGGGAGAAGCAGACTCCCTGCTGAGCAGGGAGCCCGATGTGGGACTCGATCCAGGGACTCCAGGATCATGACCTGAGCCGAAGGCAGTCGCTTAACCAACTGAGCCACCCAGGCGCCCTCTTTGGTTTGTTTTTAAGATTTGTTTGAGAGAGGAGTGGGTAGGGGAGAGAGAGAGAGAGAGAGAGAGAGGGAGAGAGAGAGAGAGAATCTCTCTAGCAGACTCCCTGCTGAGCTCAGAGCCTGACATGGGTCTTGATCTCCGATCCTCAGATCATGACCTGAGCTGAAATCAAGAGTCAGACACCTAACCAACTGAGCTAGCCAGGTGCCCCTCTGTTTAATTTTTTCATAGAACTAATTACTAGGTAAAGTTACTTTGTTCATTCACTTGTCTCTTTGTTTATTGTCACTTTCTACCCCTCTCCCCTGGAACATAAATTCTGAGAGCAAGGACCTTGTCTGTATTGTTCATGGCTATTTGCCCTGCACCTGGAACAGTGCCTAGCATATAATAGGCACTTGATACATATTTGTGCACTAGTAAAGAAACATAAAAAATTATTTATGTAACACTTGTATACAAATAATATATATACTAGGGCGCCTGGGTGGCTCAGTTGGTTAAGCGACTGCCTTTGGCTCAGGTCATGATCCTGGTGTCCCGGGATCGAGTCCCACATCGGGCTCCCTGCTCAGCGGGGAGTCTGCTTCTCCCTCTGACCCTCCCCCTTCTCATGTACTCTTTCTTTCTCATTCTCTCTTTCTCAAATAAATAAATAAATCTTAAAAAAAAAAACAATATATATACTGAATTATGAAAACAAGGATTTCATATAGAAAATTTGGAAAGCAGCAAAAAGGAGTAGTACCACTACCCAGAGGCAAACTACTTCTCATGTGTACCTTTAGATTTTTGTTTATACTTTTTAAAAAATTTCCTAACAAAAATGGTATTGTGTCAGTGATGTTTTATAACATATATTGTTTACTGAATTTTATATATAACTTTCTGCTGAAATATATTTTTACATCATTTTTAATCTGCATATTTTACTCTATAAGTAGACGAGAATTTACTTAGTTCATCCTCTATTATTGTACATTTAAATTGTTTTCAGAATTTTTCACTGTTGTACCAAACTCTGAAGTAAATGTCCTTATTTTCTTATATATTCTTAGAAAGAACATTCCTAGAATAAATGATATATATATTTTTAAGGCCTTTGCACATTGCCAAATTATTCTGTAGTATTACCATTTAATTGTTTTTTTTAAAGATTTTATTTATTTATTTGAGAGAGAGAGAATGAGATAGAGAGCATGAAAGGGTCAGAGGGAGAAGCAGACTTCCCGCTGAGCAGGGAGCCCGATGTGGGACTCGACCCCAGGACCCCGGGATCACGACCCAAGCTGAAGGCAGACGCCTAACCATCTGAGCCACCCGGGGGCCCCTCCAAAATATGTCTTGAATAATGAGGTAGATGAAATGCCAAACTAGGTTGCAAAATGAGAAACTGATTGGGGGGGTCTCCTCCAGGTTTGTTTGACAGGAATGAAGGGAGTAGGTGAAATACGATGTGACCATATGTATGTATTCATGATTTATTTAGATTTATTTATTTTAGAGCGAGTGAGCATGAGCAGGAGTGTAGAGGGAGAGAGAATCTCAAACAGACTTCATGCTGAGCAGGAAGCCTAATTCAAGGCTCCACACAGCGCACCACCCTGAGATCATGACCTGAGCAGAAACCAAGAGTCCAACGCTTAACTGACTGAGCCACCCAGGTGCCCCTGGATATGACTCTTTTAATCTGCTGTGGAAGCAATGCGATCTTGTATAGTGGTGGGTTGGAATCTGAGTTTTGAATCAAGTTTGTTTTTATGTCGAGGGCTTTTGGTGATAAATAATCTGAACAGCACAATTTTTTTTTTTTAAAGATTTTATTTATCTGACAGAGAAAGAGAACACAAGTAGGCAGAGCGGCAGGCAGAGAGAGAGGGAGAAGCAGGCTCCCTGCTGAGCAGGGAGCCCAAGCAGGGCTCAATCCCAGGACCCTGGGATCATGACCCGAGCCGAAGGCAGACACTCAACCAGCTGAGCCACCCAGGCGCCCCCACAATTTTTTTTAAACATTTTTATTTTATGGTTCAAAAATGAAAATCTAAAATGATGTACAGTGAGAAGTCTCACTCCCACTCATGTCCCTGTCCACCCTTTACCTGCCCACCCTCTAGTAGCCACTTTCAGTATTTTCTTTTGTAGCTTGGCAGTTTCATTATGTACAGATGAGCAAATGTAAGTACATACTCTTATTTTCTCCATTTTTTTTTTACCCAAAAATAAAAATAGCATACTTTATCCATCTTCTGGGCTTATTGTTAAAATTTAAATCCTAGGGGTGCCTATGTGGCTCAATGGTTAAACCCCTCACTCTTGATTTTGGTTCAGGTCATGATATCAGGGTCATGAGATTGAGTCCAGCATCAGGCTCTGTGCTGGGCATGGAGCCTCCATAGGATTCTATCCCTCTGCCCCCCACCCCTCTAAAAATGTATAAAATAAAATAAAATTTAAATCCTAGATAGCTTCCATATCACTATGTGAAGTTATTCTCCATTTTATTAGTTTTTTTTTTTGAGGGTTTTTTTTTAAATTTGTTTATACTGTGGATTGTCTGGACCCTCTTCACTAATATACTGTAGAGGTCTTCCTTCCCACTGTACCCTGTGTTGGTCTGCATTAAGAAAATAGCTGCATAGCGTTCAGTTGTATGAATGCACCATAATTTAACCATACTCCTATTTTTCCTTTTTTTAGAAAAAGCTACATCTTTATGTATTTGTCAGAGTTTATAACATATCAGTGAAATTGGTAGGTCAAAGTTATGGCGTTTCATAATCTGCTAAATATTGCCATTAGTTTTCTACATAAAACATTACCATAAACTTAGCAGCTTCAAACGGCCCATGTTCATTAGCTCATAGTTCAAAAGTTCAATAGGTCATGAGTTGGGGCTCGGTATACCGAGTTCAATGCTCAGGGCCTTAGAAGGCTGAAATCAAGGTGTCACCTGGGCTGTATTCCTTTCTACGGACTCTGGGCAAGGATCCACTTACAAGTTCATTGTGGTTATTGGCCAGATTCAATTCCTATGATTGTAGGACTAACATCCTGATTTCTCTACTGGTTGTCAGCTGAGCGCCCCTCTCAGCTCCTAGAAGCTGCCTGCAGTCTTTGCCATTTCACTTCTGTCTTCAGAGCCAGCAGTGGATAATCTGCCCCCAAGGAGATGCTTTTAACCTCTTTTTTTTTTTTTATTTTTATTTTTTTTATTTGAGAGAGAGAATGAGAGATAGAGAGCACGAGAGGGAAGAGGGTCAGAGGGAGAAGCAGACTCCCTGCTCGAGCAGGGAGCCCGATGCGGGACTCGATCCCGGGACTCCAGGATCATGACCTGAGCTGAAGGCAGTCGCTTAACCAACTGAGCCACCCAGGCGCCCCAGCTTTTAACCTCTTGCCAGTCCTCCTATAGGCTCAAGTGATTAAGTTGGGCCTACAGAGGATAATCTTCCCTATATTAAGGTCAGGTGCTTTGGGACCTTCCATGTGCACCGTTCCTTCTCAGCAGCAGAGGTTAGGGTGGATATCTGGAAGGTGTGTGGACACAGAAGGTGGAAATCTTGGGGCCATGGTGGACTTCTAGCCTCCCAGTTGCGGGCCACCCTCGAAGAGTTATATCAATCTGCGCACCTATCAGTAGTATACAAGTGTGTCCGTTTCTCCCCTTCCCCATGTTTCCATTGGTTGTTAAATCTTAGTTACCTGTGAAAGCTTTGTGGATACTAGTTTTTGTTCATAAATACTACAAATATTTTTTTCCTAATTTATCCTTTGTCTTTGCTGTCAGAAGTTAAATTGTACTCTATCATTTTTCCTTTGGGATTTCTGGCTTAGAAAGGTTTTCATCTGTTTTCTTCTAATACTTATTATTTCTTTTAAAAAAATATCTGATCCAAATGCCTAGCCACTTGTCATAACTGCATATGTTAGAATTATGTTAGAATTAAACTATTATCATTGCAATTCCATACAAATGCCTCAGCTGCTTATATTTTAGCTCTGAAGTAAATGGTTTCTCTTTTCAGATTCCTTTCTCCAAATTTTTCTTCTCTAATCAAGGAAGAATCCGGGATGCCCAGTACCAGCTTCTGCTTGACAAGGTAACATTTTCCTGTACTTTGATTCAGAACTGTTTAGTTTAGTGAAACAAAACTCCTGTGAGGATGATTTCAGTCCATTTTTGAGGGTTGGCAAATGAAAGATGAAAATTCTTATCAAGGCCTCCCCTGTTATTCCACACAGAGGTTGACTCAGACCTCTTCTGTGAGCCAAACCCCCAGCTGGGAGAGCTTTCACTATGGTCATCTTTTCAGCCTGTCTACATTTTATTTTAGCTCCAAAACAAGAGAACAGTATTCTAGTTCAGGAGGGCTTCAAGGAACCTCCATTAGACATCCATGCTGTCCTCACCAGTCTTAAGTGGCACTACTTTAAAGAGAGGGAAGGGGAAGTAGAAAGTAGAAAGAAAATCAGCCCTGCACTTCCTTTTGTGATTTGCTATATAGCATAAGAGAACTATGGCATACTTGCTCAGGGCTGATAGTGTAAAGACTCAGTTATATGAATCACCTCATGGAACTTGAAAACTCCAGGAACAATATCAGTATATGAGATTTTGATCAATTTCTCTATTTTAAATGTAGATCTCTTCTATTGGATTCACTCTGGCTGATAAAGTGGATGGTCCATTCTTCCTAGAAATAGATTTTATTGGAGTGTTTACGGATCCAGCCCACACAGAAGAATTCGCCTATGAAAATTCTCCAGAACTTAACCCAAGACTTTTTAAATAGAGATGGTAATTTTGTACTACCAAACTAAGAGTAGTATTATCCATGACGACAGAGACAAAATAAAGTACTTCTTTAATGGCTTCCAACCAATGGCTGGTATGTATTCCCTGAGACAAAGCTAAATGCTATTGTCAAGAGGGGCCACACAGAGGGAGACACAGCATGAACCTAGGTTCTAAGCTGTGACTTAAAAGAAGTCCTGATGTGGAGGTATCGTGTAAAGGACTTTAGTGGTTTGGGTTAAAATGATTCATTAGGAACAATTCCCCTACACACATAGGCAATTGCCAAAGCAAGGAGTCCTTGGGATGACTGTTGATGTCTTTCTCCTACTCTATTCCTTGTAGGTTTCTTGTTTTCTAATCCATTATTTAAGGAAAGGAGATTGCTAAAGATTCCTATGCAATTCAGTGATTTTTAGTATATTCACAGACTTGTCAGGCTTAACCAAAGCTAATTTTAGAAAATTTCTATCTGTCCTAGAAGTAACCTTAACACCACCCCTCCCCTTCCCCCCCAGGTATCTATGGCTCTACTTTCTCCATAGGTTTAGCTTGTGTGGATATGTTGTACAAAGAGAATCATATGTGATCTTTTATGTCTGGTTCTTTTCACTTAGCATAATATCTGTGAAATTTACTCATGTTGTAACATTTTATTAGTACTTTATTCCTTTTTAGTGCATCATCATTTTTAATCTATTAATGGACAGCTGGATGTTCTCTACTTTTTGGCTACAGTGAATAATAGTCCTGTAAATATCTGCCTAGAAGTTGCCCATGTGCTTCTCTTTCTCTTGGGTATATACCTAGGAGTAGAAGGTCATGTGCGTCAATGTGACCCATGCCATTGTTGGGTAATGTGGTAGACATATTTAAGAAGCCACCAACCTGTTTTCCAAAATGATTAGATCATTTTACCTTCCAGGCTGCAGTGTATTTGACAGTGGTTTAATTGATGTGATCTTGGCTTTTTTTTTTTTTTAAGATTTTATTTATTTGACAGAGAAACAGAGAGGGAACACAAGCAGAGGGAGCGGGAGAGGGAGAAGCAGGCTTCCTGTGGAGCAGGGAGCCCGATGCGGGGCTCCATCCCAGGACCCTGGGATCATGACCTGAGCCGAAGGCAGATGCTTAACGACTGAGCTACCCAGGCACCCCATGATCTCTGCATCTTAATAGCAAAATCAGTTTATTCAGCACCCGGGAGTATGCCAATGTTCTGTGGGCTCGTGTATGTTTAACAGTAGGTATAACAGAGTCGGACATGGGCTGTGAAAAATACAAGAGGACAACACAGTCATTTCTTAGGGTGAAAAGAGGTGGTCAGGACAGGATGCACAGAGTATAACTTTTTTTTTTTTTTTAAAGATTTTATTTCTTTATTTGACAGCACAAGCAGGGGGAGAGGCAGAGGCAGAGGGAGAAGCAGACTCCCCGCTGAGCAGGGAGCCCAAACTGGGGCTCGATCCCAGGACCCTGGAATCATGACCCGAGCCGAAGGCAGCCGCTTAACCAACTGAGCCACCCAGGCGCCCCAGTAAACTTCTTAATCTTAGCTGGTCAACTCAATCATGAAGTAAATTTATTTACAAAGAATCTACCACCATGAGAAAACATTTATGAAAATCTTAAACAGTACAAAGCTCTACCTAGGTGCAACAAACATGGTTGTGAGGCTAAGCAACTCTAGTCTTTTCCATAAAGTGAGTAAGATGTAACTCTGACAGAGCATATTAATCCTTGAAGCAGCAATCCTCAGATTTCAGTATGGCCCTGTATATTTTTAAGACTAGAATGAACTATAGAGTTTTTAAGAATATATTGAGTGACAGAGGGCATTTCCATCAAGTGATTGGAACAAGTGTGCATAGGTAACAAAACACTTCACATAGGTAGTTTATGCCATTACCAACCCGTTTGGGTCCCTGTTTCATTAAGAAGACTCGATCCTCTGGAGAAGGATGAGGTGGCTTTCTCAGCTTGTTAGTGGTTTAGGTTCTACTAAAGGTTGTGGTACAACTACCTACCCTCAGGTAAATGCTTCTGTCTGGAAGAGGATTCCAGTTCTGTCAGCACAGGGAACTTGACATTAAAGATCTAGGTCAAGAATCTATAGGATGAGTCTCATTAGAAAACTGAATTGTACAGAAACTTAGGTAAAAACCATTTCAAAGAATTTGTGAGCTTTAAGGTAACAACTTTTCAGGGATGTAGTATGTGAAGAGAACCACCAACACTACATAGATAGTGAACAAAGAGCAGAAAAAAGTCTTTTGACTAAAATGGGAAAGACAGAAAAATATTTACAATAAAGAAAGGGTTCAGAATAAAATACTATTTACAGGATGTTAAAAAATTAATCTTCAGCCATAATGAGGCCTCTTCGAGCTCCTAAAACCTTTGCTTTCTTCTCCTTTCGTCTTTGCTCATGTTGTTTCCGTTGTTCCTCCCTAAAGAGGGGGATAGGTACACATTAGGGTCTAGTGAAGCTCCACAAAAGTCCACTTTAAGTACCTGTCACTCTAATGTCCAGGCTTAAACTGAAGTCCAGTATACTTGTACAAAACACCCTCTTATAGGACACTGTGCTCTAGCTAGTGGGCTATGGAAGCCACATCTCTAAGTCACTTGTGTTAAAGGGCTAGAAAGTGGTATTTTCCTTTTAATGTTAATGTAGCATTCTAAAATTAAGCATGGAACTGGAACAAAAGGCACCTCGGTACCTTAATTTGTTTTATATATATATATTTTAAAGATTTTATTTACTTATTTGACAGAGACACAGCGAGAGAAGGAACACAAGCAGGGGGAGTGGAAGAGGGAGAAGCAGGCCCCCCGCCGAGCAGGGAGCCCGATGCGGGGCTTGATCCCTGGACCCTAGGATCGTGACCTGAGCCGAAGGCAGACACTTAACAACTGAGCCACCCAAGTGCCCCCTTTCATTTGTTTTAAATGAGAAATCTCTACCTTTGGAAGTCAAATGTCAAGCTCAAAAATCCTATAGTCTGGTGAAGTGCTAGAACTAGGGTCTGCTGACCTAAGCCAGTGTATATTTCTGGAAGGGACTGGGGATTGGTAGGAGGGGCGGGGGAAGGCTAGGTTTATGTTAAACTTAAAAAAAAAAAAATCAGGGGCGCCTGGGTGGCTCAGTTGAAGGCTCAGTCTGCCTTTGGCTCAGGTCGTGATCACAAGGTCCTGGGTTCGAGCCCCACATCGGGCTCCCTGCTTTGCGGGAAGCCTGCTTCTCCCTCTCCCACTCCCCCTGCTTGTTCCCTCTGTCTTGCTGTGTGTCTCTGTCAAATAAATAAATGATTATTTTTTTTTTAAAGATTTTAAGTAATCTCTACACCCAATGTGGGGCTCAAACTCATAACCCCAAGATCAAGAGTCCCATGCTCTTCTGACTGAGCCAGCCAAGCACCCCTATGTTAACAATCTTAATAGCAAATATAGTTAGTAAATGTCTTGGTGGCAGCTGGATATAGGCAAGTCATATGATGGGTAATCTTGTATCAGGATGGTTTCATGCAGGGAATCAACTCAACTGGGACAAGCTATAGCCCACAGCAAGCTCTGGCTTTGGTTTTCACACAGAAGGAAGCCTGTAAGGATCATCTGGGGATTTCTTCTGGGTAGGGCCTTGAAGCCTAATAAGCCTGGTTTCCCTGGGGCTGAAGAATTTACACCTGGGCCCTTGGATTGTTGTCTGGAGGGATATCCAGGTACACTGTTTGGGCTGGTAGGTCCTGTGAGAACATGGTCCCCTTCTGTATCACCTATGGAGCTTCGGAAATCGTGCAGCTGCTTGGGCCTCACCTCCCAGTTCTGAATTAAAAACCACTGTCGGGGGGGCCTAGGCACATGTATCTTCAGGAAGTTTTATGTGGTTCCCCGACTACCCTTTCCTTACACACCACTATTACTGAACCTCTCTACCTCAGAGGCTTTGCTTTTATAGCCTTTCAAAACTAAAATTACTATAGAACTGGATAATTATGTACTCACCTAGTCTGGAGAGGAGGTTGTTTGTAAGTTTTCTTGTGGAAGCTAACTCTGTTTACGTGCTCTTTCAGAGAATTATTTTCTTTACATTGACCCCATGGTTTCAGCTTGCCTAGTTTAGGAGAGACAAAGATTTAAGAAGATTCTTCTGCTTATATTCCCAATTTTATTCTCTTCATCTGAGGCTATTTGCTTGCTATCAATATTTATACTTTATTTTTATAGACATTTGCCACTATATTTATTAGTTTAATTCCTATTCCACAAATATAAATGATATAAATCGTATTTTTTTTCCTCTAAAAATAAGTTTTTTTTTAAAGGTTTATTAAGAGAAAGAGAGCATGTGTGCACACACAGCCTGGAGGGGCAGAGGGAGAGGGAGAAAGAATCTCAAGCAGACTCTCCGCTGAGCACAGAGCCCAATGCGGGCTCAGTCTCATGACCCTGAGATCATGTCGTGAACTGAAATCAAGAGTCGGATGCTTAACCAACTGAGCTACCCAGGCATCCCAGGAAGTCTTATTGTTTTAAAGCAATTCTAGGGATGCCTGGGTGGCTCAGTCCCTTAAGCATCTGCCTTAGGTTCAGGTCATGATCCCGGGGTCCTGGGATTAAGTCCCATGTCGGGCTTCCTGCTCAGTGGGGAGTTTGCTTCTCCATCTGCCTGCCGCTCCCCCTGCTTGTGCTCTCTGACAAATCTTTAAAAAAACAAAAACAAAAAACAATTCTAGAATTACTGAAAGATCACATGAAGTATTGGTTTTTGTTTTTAGAATTGGTATTTTAAATGGATATACAGATACTTTAATATAGGCCCAATTTATATGGGCATTTATATAGCCAGTAAATGTCCCAGGTTGTTGGACAGGTGGATTCCAGCCTGGGATCCTTTAAAAGTTGTAAAGAAAACATTCATTTGCCCACAGACCAATTTCCAAGTTTCTTGATTTTGCCTGAAATTTTATTATTTCTTGGCTGTAACACAGATTAGAAGTTATGTTTTGATGAACAAAAATGTGAGTGAACTGATTATTTAGTATTTGCTTAGTGGACAGTCTTTTAAAATCATGGGTCCTGTGGACCCCGGGGGAAGAAATTCTAGGTGGCCAAGTATGGCTTTCCACTGAGGCACCAGAATTTTTCACATCCTCAGATGTAGAACTATTTAATCCTAAGTCTTTTATCTCAGAACATCTGCACGTACCTTTGTGTGGCTCATAGTTGAGGGGACGAGACAGACTTGCTTTGAGATCAAACACTGGCTTCTTGTTGGAGACTGGAGTCTGTGCTGCCTGAGTTGTCAGTTTGAATGGGGTAACAACTACGAAACCAAGAAACAAAACCCCAGGGCTTAATTAGGGGGCAAGAAAAAGACCTATACAGTTTTTTGTTGAAGTACCATTTCTCAGTCTTAAAAATATCATCTCTATGGACAGTCTCAAACATGAAGGTTTAAAAAGGAAAAGGGAGAAAAGAATAAGGAAAGCTAACCACCGAGACCTGCTTCCCTTGTGAGTAGTTCCCCAAATAGTCTCAGCATTAGGATATTTCCTAGAGTCACCTGGGGGTTGAAAATCCTGTTTACATAATTGATGGGTAAATGTTCAGGCCGTGTCCCTGATGTTATTTACCCTTTAATAATACGTTAGTAGTAACATTTTCAATCATATAGCTATAAAGCCTGCAAGGAACCTCATCACATATAAATGAAAATATTTGTGGCTCTGGTTGTTATTTATAAAAGCAGTTATTTAAAAATATGAATTTTTGTACCATAAATATACCAGAATGACAAGACTCAGTAAGCCAAATTTTTGCTACAGTTGGCACCATATATCGGGCACCTTTTATTCTTTCCCATCACAGGCTGTTCTTAGGCTATTGTCGAATGTCAGCACTTGCGTGCGTATATATGAATAAGCAACCAAAATCTAGGGCCACTTGGTTCAATGAGAAAAGCACAAAACCCGTTTGAAAGTGATCCCATCGTGTGGCTCTCTGGTGCCGGCAGTGGGGGAACACGGGCTGTCCACCATGCCGAGCAGAGTTTCAATAGGTACAGTTCAGCCTGTCCAGTAACTGCAGCCCTGCCACACCCCAGTCCCTCCGAGCTCTAGAGAAGCTCTCACACGTGTAGAGGAGACATGGTTCAGAATGGTCATGACACCATAACAACAAAAACTGGAAATACGTACTCAATGACCAGTAAAACACAAATTGAAGTGTATCCATACCAGTGAAAATGAACAAATTTTCTAGCTCATTTATCAATATGGGTGATTCTTGAAACATTACACTGAGCGAACGAAGCAAATCATAGGAAAAAAAAAATCCTACAATTTGATTTCCTTTACATAAGATTCGTATCTGATAGTTGGGGGAAAAAAACTATCCCATCCCAACTGGGCACACCCCTGAATTACCATGAGAAAGCTCACAATATGGTAAGCATTTAGTTTCTGCCTCAGGTTGTGATCTGTAAGCATTTGTGAGTCCTTCCTCATTATGAGGTAAGTGGTCTACTCAGTGACCCCAGCTCTCTGTAAAATAACACTGTCCTATCTTAGGCAAGTCCACTCCATTTGTAGCACTGCCTTCTGTCCAGGCCCCTTTCTTCCCTTACCACAGGAAGATTTAGAAGGTTACATGGAATGTTTGCTCGCTGGTGGTGGTAACATTAAGAGTTAAGCTGGGAATGAGAGAGCTCATTTAGAGGAAGAATCACATAAATTTACTATTCCCACATCTGGACTTGCTTAAAATGTAGCTGTCAGCCTCACTCTTCTGTCTTTAAGGTATGAAGAAACCCTCATTGACTCTCCACACAGATCATTACCAACACTGTTCTGAAGCCCCTGCTGGATTGCTCTAGTCTCGGGAGTTGGCAAGCCTTTCTATGTGATCAAGGTTCTTGCCTCATGTATTCGATAGGACTCTCAGGAGAATTGACATACTCAGTTCTAATATAGGCCTCATGCTGGTTATATATATATATATATATATATATATATTTTAAACTTTGTACTGTTACTGCAGTATTCTCTTGAAAACTACCTAATGATTGTAGGTAATGATTAAGTAGGCCATGTGTAGCAGAGTATCCATATGGCTTATTCTGGCTTACATAATCTAGTTCATAGTTTGGCCTTTATCCCACAAACTCTGGGATCCTATGAGTTTCATAGTCCTGGGGGACCAATCAGAGGCTGTAATGAATACTGTGATCTTCCTTCTAATCCCTGAGTCCAAGAAGGGACTGAATGATCTTCAGGGAGGGTCACCATCTTAGGTCTCCTTAGAGACAAGATGGAGTCTTCAGGCAGATACCAGTTTTTTGTTTGTGTCTCTGGCATTTTCCTCACCAATATAAAATGAAAGATATGCTATGGTGAAATTTTTGCTTTTGATTTTATAGTTATGGAGAGGTTTTAAGTAAACAAATACACTTAATAATTTCAGGAAGTTAGGTGGCTTAAAGATGAACCAGTTTTTTCTTTTGTTTTACCAGAAACAGAATTTCCATTTGTGGTCTTTAACTTGTCTGTCCCGAGCACAGCCTGGCCTTTTGGGGTACTCCCAGGTATGATCACATGTGGAGACTTTCTGGCTGGAGTCTTGGTCAGTGAACGCTTATGCTCATTATCTTTGGTAGCAGCTGAAAACCTAAACAGGACAGTGGAGTACCAAACATGAGTATTCGTGTGTAGAGTAACTTGTATCAAGCATACAAGCAAAACCACCTGCCCATCCCCAAGCAGTGAAAGGGCTCGATATGTACTTGTTACATGAATAATGAACCTTTTTTGCAGAATAAACATTTTACAACACTTGATTTGTAAAATATGGTTTTGTCTTCTCTGCTTTCCTTGTCTTGGCCAATGGCAGAACAAGGTAGAGCTCCAAGGAAATGCCTCTGGGGCTCAAATTACAGTTTAGGAGGTACTCTAAGCACTCCCCTCTTTCTCCTCCTGGTGATGGCCAATCAGGGAACAGGAGACTGCTATGCCAAATATGGGAATGGATCTTCCGTCTTCCTAGTAGATGGTCATTCATTTAAATGGTACATAAGCCCATTCTCCTAGCAAATTGCCATAAATTTATTGCACTGATTATGATGCATATTTTTTATGCATTTTAATGTTTGAAATTGGGATATGTTTCATAATTAGTAACACATCATAGTTGGCAATGATTTTTCTTAGTGGTTCATAAAATAATGGTGAGTCTCCAATTGATGGTGTCTTAGATTCAGTGAAATTCAGGAAGGACAGACATAAATATACATGATGGTGGTAGTGATGGGGTTAACAGAAGAGAACTTCTGGACCTACAAGTAAAATGTAGTAGCGATCCTGTATCAGGACCCAAAATTATTATGGAATACCGTACAACCTGGTTAAGACAACTGCATGTTAGGTGAAGTCCAGGCTGCTGTGAACACTGCAGTGGGGCGAGGACTTGCCCTGACCATGGTGTTCCTCACTACTATTATATACAGTCCAAACTGCCACAGAGAGGTACCTCAGACTCCACGCTAACTCAATAAATAGAGTTCCAAATTTAAGGGCGTTTTTAAGCTCTAAAAACTACATCAGATAATTACATGGGTTGGGGAAGTGTTACCAGGCACCAACACTATTAGGCTGCAAACACCCTTTAAAAAGAATAGGGGCACCTGGCTGGCTCAGTTGGTAAACATGCAACTCTTGACCTCAGGGTTGTGGGTTCAAGGCCCACACTGGGTGTGGAGGTTACTTAAAAAAATCTTAGTGGTGCCTGGGTGGCTCAGTCATTAAGCATCTGCCTTCGGCTCAGGTCATGACCTCAGGGTTGGTCCTGGGATCGAGCCCCACATTGGGCTCCCTGCTCTGCCGGCGGCCTGTGTCTTCCTCTCCCACTCCCCATGCTTGTGTTCCCTCTCTCGCTGTGTCTCCCTCTGTCAAATAAATAAAGTCTTTAAAAAAAAAAAGTAAATAAAATCTTAAGGGGCACCTGGGTGGCTCAGTCAGTTAAGTGGCTGCCTCCGGCTGAGGTCATGATCCTAGGGTCCTGGGATCGAGCCCCGCGCTGGGCTCCCTGCTCAGCTGGGAGTCTGCTTCTCCCTCTCCCTTGCTCAAATAAAATCTTAAAAATAATTTTTTTTTCTATATTAAAGAAAAGGGGCCTGAAGATCTTCATCTCTGGGATAGTTATAATTGGGGGCTACCCTGTGTCAGGAGAAGTACAAGCAAAGAAAATAGAGGGGTCATTGGGGCATGGGATAACCGACACTGCAGTTCCCAGTACGTTAACAAAAGTTACACTTTAGGACAAGTCAATTAAGTTCACTGCATCGAGATATTTTCTGTAGGAATTTAGCTCAACTTTACATTTAAGTCAATGGAAAAATTTCTTTACATGTCTTTATAGGCATACATTAATTAAATAAAATGAATATCCATATGTACCTTCTATCTTTACTTACGACCCAAATGTGAGCTTAGAGAAGTTTGATAAAAAAACAACGCAGGGTGCCTGGGTGGCTCAGTCGTTAAGCGTCTGCCTTCGGCTCAGGTCATGATCCCAGGGTCCTGAGATCAAGCCCCGCATCGGGCTCCCTGCTCACTGGGAAGCCTGCTTCTCCCTCTCCCACTCCCCCTGCTTGGGTTCCCTCTCTCGCTGTGTCTCTCTCTGTCAAATAAATAAAATCTTAAAAAAAAAAAAAAGAACTAAAATGTTAAAAAACAACAACAATGCAAATTTAAAGAAAAAAGATTACAGCTTATAAAAACCATCCACTTATTTTCTCTCCATTCTGATCCTCTTTTGCCTTCTTTTTCATCAACATTAAAACATATTTGATGTCGCCCACCTGAAATGTACAGGAAGCAGTAGAGCTTTGAGACCTTGTACTTGATTACATGTTGGAGCTCTTCTTACCTGACATTCATTTTTGTAGCCGAGAGAACGGCTCGCTTGGCGGAGCCCTTCCCACACAAGGTGCTCCGGCCTGCAGCGCCCAGGGGCCGGCCTGGCAAGCGGCGCTGGCTGGTGGGGGTGCAAGCTGCGCGGAGCCTTCCCCGGAGAGGAACCGGAGTCACCACCGCTCCCTTGGTGACCAGCTGCTTCTGCAGAAAGACACCGCACCATGTTCAAACTGGGCTTCTTAGCGCCGGCTCCACAGCAGCCCCGTTCATCCCCACTTTTAATCCCACCTGTTATCTTTTCTTCTCAGTGCCTCATCCTCTTCTGACCTGCCAGGTGGGCAGGGCAGTTCCTGGCCCCTGTATCGCTATGGTGACCGAGCTAGGAGTAACTTCTGGTTGTGCGGAGTCCTGTGTTACAGAGAGCCTTTCCCAGCTTGCCATGAACCCAGGTATTTTCGGACTAAAGAATGTGGCTTAAGGGGCGCCTGGGTGGCTCAGTTGTTAGGCGTCTGCCTCTGGCTCAGGTCATGATCCCAGGGTCCTGGGATCGAGCCCCGCATCGGGCTCCCTGCTCCGCGGGACGCCTACTTCTCCCTCTCCCACTCCCCCTGCTTGCGTTCCCTCTTTCGCTGTGTCTCTCTATGTCCAATAAATAAATAAAATCTTAAAAAAAAAAAAAAAAGAATGTGGCTTAAAAGTCCCCTGTAGCCAGAAAGGGAGGATCAATAGCTTCTCTTGGACATATAGTATCTTTGAGAATGTGATAAGCCATTTATTAAATACAAACTCAAAGAACCACCTATTATGTAATTAGCACATGGAATCTACAAATAATTCCACCCCTGCCCCTACAACCACCGCCCCCATGGATTCTTAAAGTTCTTTAAAAACAAAAACAACAAGAGGGAGGGAGGGAAACTCTCCCTTTGAAATGGCTGGGGATGGTCCACTTAGGTTATCATTTTTTAGATATTGTCAGCACACCAAGAATAACAATGTCTTCCTATCACTGGTTTAAGCTCTTGCAAGCAAAAGAAACACAGCTTTGTTAAGGTACAACAGTGGTGGGATTACTGAAATGGATGAGGTAAAGCCAAAAGAGAAAAATTCTGATTATATCATAGGAAATACAAGCACTCAGAGAATTATATCAACTTCTCAACATACAAGCAGAAGAGATTCTAATGTGACACAAAGTTAAAACTTACTAAAATAGTTAGTAAATGCACATCTATACCATGAGGTGGGAGCCCAGGTTATATGTATTTAAGCACACTGTTCTATTTAATCACACTTTTTATGCTGCCTTCTATCTTTCCTCCAAGATTCCCACTTTCCATGCTGTGTCTCCTCACAGTTCACTTGGTGTCAGGACCATCAACTCTGCATCTTTGTTCTGAACTACTTACAATGCAGAAATGAGTCTACTAGCTCTTATCCATCTAACTTTTTTTCAGGTAGGATATTAAGCCGTACTAACTCGTTTTGTTAGCAATGTATGTAAACAATTCCTGTCTTTTAGCAATAAAAATCTGTTCAATCCTAACAAAGCAAAGAGCTCAATCATACCATATACAAAAAGTGGGTTAAGGATTAAATATAGATGAAAATAATAAAAGCAGTACAAATAAATATAAGAGCTTATTTTTATGATCTTGAAACAGGCAGGGTGTGACAAAAAAAAAACCCACAAAAAAACCACGCAGACCCTTAAAAGGAAAAGTTGGATAAAATTAAGAAAAAATCTTTCATAAAAGACACCATTAATATAGTTAAAAGATAGGGCGCCTGGGTGGCTCAGTTGGTTAAGCGACTACTTTCGACTCAGGTCATGATCCTGGAGTCTCAGGATCGAGTCCTGCATCAGGCTCTCTGCTCAGCAGGGAGTCTGCTTCTCCCTCTGACCCTTCCCCCTCTCATGTGCGCTCTCTCTCATTCTCTCTCTCTCAAATAAGTAAATAAATAAAATTTAAAAAATATATAGTTAAAAGATAAACTAAAGGAAAGTATTTATAATATAGAATATATAGCATTAATATAAATGGCTAAAAGATGAGTAAAAATTGAGAAAAAACAAAAACAAAAATTGAGAAAAAACCCCAGCCAATAACAACATATAAACATATAATGATCAAAGAAATTCCAACTCAATTGGGATCTTTTCATATTATATTAATAAAGATTTAAAAAATTCATCATTCCCACTGTTGGCAAGATAAACCGGCATATCGGGTTCTGATGCTTGTAGGGGACCATTTGGCAACTAAATCAAATTGGTCTCCCTGCTCTAGTGAAAGTCAAGGAGAGACAGGTCGTGGCCAAGATGATTCTAAGATCTCTGCTTATTTATTATTAACACTGTCCAATGACCAATCCCAAAACATGTCAACTGTCAAGAAAAACTTCCTATTAGCTATGGTGAAGTCACTGTAATTTTTTATTTTTCAATTTCCAAATAGATCATACCAAATAACCCATTTGATAGATCTATTCCTTAGTGGGGAGGGGGGTGATTTTAGAACTAAATTCATTCAGGTGGGGTATCGGGAAAAATAAGATAACCTGCTCATTATTTAACACACCTTCAGGGCTACACTCAAGTTTATGGTTGAGGCACTTGTTCTGCCCTAATTTTTGCCTAGAAAATTAACTCACCCATATTATGTAGTCTAGAAAACTTGACTTTCAATCAAGTATTTAAGTAGACTCAGCTTTATGGTAAGGAAAATGAGTGGCCCTGCTTGCAGGCTTATTTGCCCCTAGCTCATTTTCATGCAAAAAAAGAAAGAAAGAAAAAGACAAAAAGAAACTAGAGGTCTGCTTCCGGTAAATCATCAGCACAGGCCTCTTGTGCAGGTATTCAGCTGTCAGTGCAGTGATGCCTAGCCCTTGCTCGTATCTAAGCAAGCATGATTATGGGCGTGCTGAGCACGTCTTCTCTGATTCTCCACCCGCGCTGGCGGACCAGTCTGCAGCCTTCAAATGCCACGGCTTGGCTTTGTCGCTGTCAGCTGGGTGATAAACGGTGTCTTCAATGAGGTTAGCAGTCAGTTGTTTTATAAAGAGTTCAAGTGAATGTTACCACTCTAGATTCAGCTTCTTGCTAAGAAGCTTATGGTGTATGTTTTTTACAAACAATATGTAGAACTTGTCACCTAGTGTGTTTCTGGGTCAGCATTTGTACCAGAAAATGTGGAACTCGACTGACACAGCAGATGCCGTCCCTGCTAACAGTGCTCATATTCTGCCCCTTTCAAACCAACCTTATACTGTTTTGTGTTATAATACCAAAGACTGCCTCCAAGGCTTTTTGAGAAATAAGCACATGGCATGTATTATGAAATTCTAAAATAAATATTCCCCCGTCCTCTGTGTGGCACCTCTTGAACACCAGAGACCAAGTAAGGTAATAACAGGATGTTGTCAACTCACTGCTCTAATTCAGCCTTGGGGTTGATTTCCTCCCCTTTTCTTATTCGAAGGGACCTTGAGTCTGGCAGGACCTGGACTGAAGGGCCCCCCGGAGCTCAGTTAGCAGGAAGCCCCTAAGTTGGCCAGTGCAACTCGTTCCTTTTTCCTTTAGGTGAGAGGGAAAGAAAATGGCTTCACCCACAAACCAGTCTAGCCTCAACAAAAGTAATAAGCACAATGTGTGAAGGCTGAGAATAGAACAACTTACTGGCAGTTTGGAATTAGTTCTTTATACTGAGGACTCCCAGTTTTATTCTGAGGGTTCTGAAAATTCTTATGGTGGGGGAAGCAATTTCAGATAATAAAGATACATTTATCAAATGTATCAAACAAATCCATTCCACTGGTAGAATAAAAAGCTGGCTGTATTAGCTAAGGTATTGACATTAAAATCAAATAGTTCGGGGCACCAGGGTGGCTTAGTTGGTTAAGCATCTGCCTTTGGCTCAGGTCATGATCCCGGGGTCCTAGGATCGAGCCCTGCATCAGGCTCCCTGCTCAGCAGGGAGCCTACTTCCCCCTTTACCGCTCCCCCTGCTAGTGCCATCTCATTTTCTCTCTCAAATAAATAAATTTTTTTTTAAGATTTTATTTATTTATTTGACAGAGAGAGACACAGCAAGAGAGGGAACACAAGCAGGGGGAGTGGGAGAGGGAGGAGCAGGCCTCCCGCCGAGCAGGGAGCCCGATGCGGGGCTCGATCCCAGGACCCCGGGATCGTGACCTGAGCCGAAGGCAGACGCTTAATGACTGGGCCACCCAGGCGCCCCTCAAATAAATAAAATCTTAAAAAACAAAACAAAACCATAAAATCAAATAGTTCAGTCCCAGTAAGAACATAATTTTAGGGGCACCTGGGTGGCACAGCTGAGCATCTGACTCTTGGTTTTGGCTTAAGTTGTGATCTCCGCGTCTTGAGATCAGGCCCCGAGTTGGACTCCACGCACAGCTCAGAGTCTGCTTGGGATTCTTTTTCCCTCTCTCTCTGCCCCTCCTGCTCGTGCTTGCTCTAATACACAAATCTTAAAAAAAAAAAAAAAAAAAAAAAAAAAAAAAAACAAACCCAAAACACATAATTTTATCAGCATACCTTCAGTTCATTAAATGAATTGTGTTCTTCAAAATGTTTCTTTTTTCTCTCAATATATTGATCAATGGACTCCATTTCTTTAAAGCGAGCCTCATGAAGCTTCTTAAAGTCTGGAATGTTCCCCAAAATATGACAATTAATAGCAAGACAAATCCATTTATTCACCTTCCCTTTGTCCTTCTGTTAATACTTATTCTCCTCTCTGCATCCCTGACATTCAGGGATCAAACATCATCTTTGCTAAAACTTCAATGTCATATCTTTCAGTTTTTGGAAACTCAGGGACAAAGTATATTCATCTTATCAACTATCAAACATTTACCATCTCTCCTCTGTCCATTTCACTGCTAACTGTGGTTTAGTCCACAGAATAAGAAAAGAATAACAGATTTGTCCTCTCCCCTCACCAATTAGTCAAATGGCCTTTACTTAATCATAAATTTGACATTTTATAATGCTTAGAAAGCTTTATACCAAGGATTGGCAAACCTTTCCTGTTAACGGTCAGACAGTAAATATTTTTTCTCATCTTTGTGGCCACATATGGTATCTCTTTTTTTTAGACAATCCTTTAAAACTGTAAAAACCATTCTTAGCTTAAAGGTTTTAAGACAGGCCAGGGTTGGCAGGAGTTTGCTGATCCCTGCTCTGTGCTATTCTGATTAAGAATATTCTTGGGGGGCCTAGCTGGTCAGTCGGAGGAGTGTGTGACTCTTGATCTTGGGTTTGTGGGTTCAAGCCCATGTTGGGTGTAGAGATTACTTTAAAAAAATAATTGAGTCCTTTCTGCCCGTGGACGCTGCCGAGTGAGCATCATTAAAGTCTCCCCTCCCACCGCCATCATGTCTAAGTCAGAGTCTCCCAAAGAGCCTGAACAGGTGTGGAAGCTCTTCATCGGAGGTTTGAGCTTTGTTTTTTTTTTTTTTTTTAAAGATTTTTATTTATTTATTTGAGAGAGAGAGAATGAGAGATAGAGAGCACGAGAGGGAAGAAGGTCAGAGGGAGAAGCAGACTCCCCGCTGAGCAGGGAGCCCAATGCGGGACTCAATCCCTGGACTCCAGGATCATGACCTGAGCCGAAGGCAGTCGCTTAACCAACTGAGCCACCTAGGCGCCTGAGGTTTGAGCTTTGAAACAACCGATGAGAGTCTGAGGAGCCATTTTGAGCAATGGGGAACGCTTACGGACTGTGTGGTAATGACAGATCCAAGCGCTCCAGAGGCTTTGGGTTTGTCACAGTATGCCACTGTGCAGGAGGTGGATGCAGCCATGAACGCAAGGCCACACAAGGTGGATGGTAGAGTTGTGGAACCAAAGAAGGCTGTCTCAAGAGAAGATTCTCAAAGACCTGGTGCCCACTTAACTGTGAAAAAGATTTTTGTTGGTGGCATTAAAGAAGACACTGAAGAACATCATCTAAGGGATTATTTTGAACAGTATGGGAAAATTGAAGTGATCGAGATCATGACTGACCGAGGCAGTGGCAAAAAGAGAGGTTTTGCTTTTGTAGCATTTGATGACCATGACTCTGTAGACAAGACTGTCATTCAAAAATACCATACTGTGAATGGCCACAACTGTCAAGTAAGGAGAGCCCTATCTAAGCAAGAGATGGCTAGTGCTTCATCCAGCCAAAGAGGTTGAAGTGGTTCTGGAAATGGTGGTGGTGGTCGTGGAGGTGGTTTTGGGGGGAATGACAACTTTGGTCACGGAGGACACTTCAGCAGTCGAGGTAGCTTTGGTGGTGGTCGAGGTGGTGGTGGATATGGTGGCAGTGGGGATGGCCATAACAAATTTGGTAATGATGGAAGCAACTTTGGAGGTGGCGGAAGTTATGATGATTCTGGCAATTACAACAATCAATCCTCAAATTTTGGACCCATGAAAGGAGGAAATTTTGGAGGCAGAAGCTCTGGCCCCCAATGGTGGTGGAGGCCAATACTTTGCCAAACCACAAAACCAAGGTGGCTATGGTGGTTCCAGCAGCAGCAGTAGCTATGACAGTGGCAGGAGGTTCTAATCACTGCCAGGAAACAAAGCTCAGCAGGAGAGGAGAGCCAGAGAAGCCACAGGGAAGCTACAGGTTACAACAGATTTGTGAACTTAGCCAAGCACAGTGGTGGCAGCGCCTACCTGCTGCAAAGAAGACATGTTTTAGACAATGCTCGTGTATGGACAAAAAACTGAGGACTAATTGTATAACAGGTTATTTTAGTTTCTGTTCTGTGGAAAGTGTAAAGCATTCCAACAAAGGGTTTTAATGTAGTTTTTTTTTTTTTTTGTACCCATGTGGTTGATTGCTAAATGTAACAGTCTGATCATGATGCTGAATAAATGTTTTTTAGAAAAAAAAAAATGGAGGGGCACCTGGGTGGCTCAGTCGTTAAGCGTCTGCCTTTGGCTCAGGTCAGGATCCTGGGGTCCTGGGATTGAGCCCCGCATTGGGCTCCCTGCTTGGCAGGAAGCCTGCTTCTCCCTCTCCCACTCCCCTGCTTGTGTTCCCTCTCTTGCTGTGTCTCTGTCAAACAAATAAAATCTTAAAAAAAAATAATAATAATTGAATTTGAATTTTTAAAAAAATTAAAATTCTAATGAACTATTAAGTATATGTATTTCTAATATATGCTGAGCAGCATTCTAAGTACTATAAATATACAACACTCAACATTCTATGTACCAGGCAATAGAGACAATTAATTACATGTTTAGATATGGAATCCCTTAAACTTATTACTGAAAAGAAAATTTAGGGGCTGGTTGGCTCAGTCAGTAGAGCATGTGACTCTTGATCTCAGGATCATGAGTTTAAGCCCTGTGTTGGGGGTAGAGAGTACTCAAGAAAAATAATTACAAGGTGGACATTGTACCAAGTACTTTATAGACATCCATTCTCAGAGATTTACTGTGCCATGTCCTAGTCACTATGTTAGGTGATCAGAAGTAGAAAAATAGTCTCAAGCATACCTTGTTTTACTCCACTTTGAGATACTGGTTTTTTTTGTTTCTTTTTATAAATTGAGGCTTTCTTGCAACCCTGTCAAGAGCCATCTTTCTAACTGCATTGGCTCACTTCATGTCTCTGTATCACATTTTGGTAATTACTGCAATTATTTCCAACTTTTTCCTTATTGTTACATATTTGCTATGGTGATCTATGATCAGTGATCTTTGATTTTACTACTGAAATTATTTTGGGGCACCAGAAGCAGTGCCCAAATAAGAGGGCAAAGTTAATAAGTGTTGTGTGTTCGACTGCTCCTACAGTGGCCTTTAAGTCTTCAGGTGAAATGAAGAGTTGCACGTCTCTCACTTTAAATCAAAAGCTAGAAATGATTAAGCTTGGTGAAGAAGGCATGGTAAAGGCCAAGATGGGCTGAAAACTAGGACAGTTAGCTAAGTTATAAACACAAAGGAAAAGTTCACGAAGGAGAGGACAAGTGCTACTCCAGTGAACACATGGATGGCAAGAAAGCAAAACAGCCTTACTGCTGATACGGAGAAAGTGTGAGTGGTCTGGACAGACTAAACCAGCCACAGCATTCCCTTAAGCCAAAGCCTAATCCAGAGCAAGGCTCTAATGCTGTTCAATTCTATGAAGGCTGAAGAAGTTCGGAAAGCTGCAGAAGAAAAGTTGGAAGCTAGCAGAAGTTGGTTCATGAGGTTCAAGTTTATTCCAGGACATAAAAGTACAAAGTGAAGCAGCAAGTGCTGATGTAGAAGCTGCAGGAAGTTACCCAGAAGAGCTAGATCATTCATGAAGGTGGCGACTATACTAAACAATAGATTTTCAATGTAGATGAGACAGCCTTCTATTTCCAGATGCCATCTAGGACTTTCATAGTTACAGAGAAGTCAATGCCTGGCTGCAAAGGACAGGCTGATTCTTGTTAGGGGCTAATGCAGCTGGTGACTTAAAGTTGAAGCCAATGCTCACTGACCATCTGAAAATCCTAAGAATGATACCACACTTACTCTGCCTGTGCTCTGCAAATCAAACAACAAAACTTGGATAGCACATGTTTACAACATAATTTACTGAATATTTTAAGCCCACTGTTGAAATCTACTGCTCAGAAAAAAAGATTCTTTTCTAAATATGACTGCTCATTGAAAGTGCACCTGGTCACCCAAGGGCTCTGTGGGAGATGTACAAGATTAATGTTGTTTTCATGCTAACACAGCATCCATTCTGCAGCCCATGAATCAAAGAGTCATGTAGACTTTCAAGTCCTATTTAAGAAATACGTTTTGTGAGCTATAGCTGCCATGGATAGTAATTCCTCTGATGGACCTGGGCAAAAGTGTAAACCTTCTGGAAAAGATACACCATTCCAGATGCCATTAAGAACATTTATGATTCATGTCAAGAAACCAAAATATCAGCACGAACAGAAGTTAGGAAGAAGCTGATTCCAGCCCTCAACAGTGGCTTTGAGGGGTGCAAGACTTCAGTGGAGGAAGTGACTGCAGATGTGGTGGGAATAGCAAGAGAACTAGAATGAGAAGTGGGGCCTGAAGTCGTGACTGACTTGCTGCAATCTCAGGATAAAACTGTACTGGATGACGAGTTGCTTCTTATGGATGAGCAAAGAAAGTGGTTTCTTGAGATGGAATCTACTGGTGAAGATGCTGTGAAGACTGTTGAAATGACAACAAAGGGTTTAGAATATTCCATAAACTTAGTTGATAAAGCAGCAGCAAGGTTTGAGAGGATGGACTCCAGTTTTGAAAGAAGTTCGACTGGGGGGACGCCTGGGTGGCTCAGTTGTTAAGCGTCTGCCTATGGCTCAGGTCATGATCCCAGGGTCCTGGGATCGAGCCCCGCATCGGGCTCCTTGCTCAGTGAGGAGCCTGCTTCTCCCTCTCCCTCTACTGCTCCCCCTGCTTGTGCTCTCTCTCTCTCTCTCTCTGACAAATAAATACATAAAAATCTTAAAAAAAAAAAAAAAAAGAAGTTCTACTGGGGGTAAAATGCTATCAATAGCACTACAAGCTACAGAGAAATCATTTGTAAAAGGAAGTCAACGGTTGGGGCAAACTTCACTGTGGTCTTATTTTAAGAAACTGCTGTAGCCAGCCCAACCTTCAGCAACCACCATCGCCCATCCCTCAGAGGCCATCAACACCGAGGCAAGACCCCCCGGCAGCAAAAATAGGACCACTTCGTTGAAAGCTCAGATTATGGTTAGCATTTTTTAGCAATATATTATTTTTTAATTCAGATATGTGCATTGTTTTTTGAGAATAACACTATGACACACCTAACAGACTACAGTAGAGCGTAAACGTAACTCTTCCATGCTGGCGACACAAACTCCTGTGATTCACTTTACTGCAGTCATCGCTTTTGGCGGTGATCTGGAACTGGAGGGGCAATGTCAGATCTGTGTGTATCGGCCTGATGAAATAGGTAGTCGACTCACTCCCACTGCCCACTAAGGAAGTGGGTTTATTGAGGATAAGAGGCCCCTGGTCTCAGAGCTAGAAAATGAGAATGAGGATGCAAGGCCCAGTTCCAGCATTCAAGCTTTTAGCTGTCCTTGTGCATTGCCTATTTGGCATTAGCCTGCAAGCGCCAACTATTACTTTGTGTGTGTGTAAAACTTACTTGGAGTAGTGCTTGTATTTCTTTTGCTTTTTCCAGGTTTGGAAAACCCATCTGTGTAGAGAGGCTTCTTTCTTTCTGAAGGTACCTTTGAATCTTCATTACCTGAATTGAGAGATACAGAACTAATCAAGGATTTCAAAACAAGTTCTTCCTATTAACAAACGTCTAGTAGTGAACACTACATCAAAAACTAATGATGTGCATGGAGCACTGGGTGTTATGAACAAACAATGAATCATGGAACACTGCATCAAAAACTAATGATGTAATATATAGTGATTAACATAACAATAAAAAAACTAATGATGTAATGTATGGTGATTAACATAACAATAAAAAATTAAAAAAAAAAAAGAAAGGAAACGTCTAGTAGTTGGGGGTGCCTGGCTGGCTCAGAGTGTACGACTCCTGAATTCAGGGTTGTGAGTTTGAGTCCCACATTTGGTGTCGAGATTACTAAAATAAATGAAACTTCAAAGAAAAAAAAGGTCTAGAATTTTTTTTTTTTTTTTAAAGATTTATTTACTTGACAGAGAGAGACACAGTGAGAGAGGGAACACAAGCAGGGGGAGTGGGAGAGGGAGAGGCAGGCCTCCCGCGGAACAGGGAGCCCAACACGGGGCTCAATCCCAGGACCCTGGGATCGTGACCCGAGCCAAAGGCAGACACCTAACGACTGAGCCACCCAGGCGCCCCAAAGGTCTAGAAGTTAACATGAGGGTATTTTCATGTGATGAGGTCTGCAAGGTGGTGGGAAAAATGAGCACAAAGAATGAGTTATAGCATCACTACAATTTTAGCTCATATGCTTCAAGCAGGAGGAAATTTTATGCTTCCTGTATAGAAGTTATGTAAATATATCAGAAATTTAAGGGGTGCCTGGGTAGCTCAGTCGGTTAAGCATCTGCCTTCAGCTCAGGTCATGATCCCAGGGTCCTGGGATCAAGCCGCGATTGGGCTCCCTACTCAGTGGGGAGTCTACTTCTCCCTCTCCATGCCCTGCCCCTGGCTCATGCTCTCAAATAAATAAATAATAAAAGAAATTTAAGAACACTTTTTCAAAACTTTTGCTATGAACAGGTTATTGTAACTAGAATGATACAAATCACACAATCCTGGGATGGCTGGCTGGTTCAGTTGGTAGAGCATGTGACTCCTGATCTCAGGGTTGTAAGTTCGATCCCCAAATTAGGCGTAGAGATTACTTAAAAATAAAATCTTTAAAAAAAAATTACACAATCCCACCAACCTAAGAAACATCCTTACCATGAGCATTTTGGCATATTTCCTCCGGCCCTCCGCTTCCATACTGGTTTATTCTTTAAATCTAGCTGTAATCATGGTGTATGTACTAGCCATTTTCTCTCACTTACAACAACATTCTGTTATCTTTTTCAACTGGAGGAAATCTACTTAAAAATATCCAAGTGGGGGGCGCCTGGGTGGCTCAGTCGTTAAGCGTCTGCCTTCGGCTCAGGTCATGATCCCAGGTCCTGGGATCGAGCCCCACATTGGGCTCCCTGCTCGGTGGGAAGCCTGCTTCTCCCTCTCCCACTCGCCCTGCTTATGTTCCTGCTCTTGGTATCTCTGTCAAATAAATAAATAAAATCTTAAAAAAAAAAAAAAGTCCAAGTGGGTTTTCAAGAATTACTATTTATAATCATGTCACTCATACTAAAGGTTTCCCAATGCATCCATAAGACATCAAAGAATTACTGGGTAGAGCAGGAGGGGCTGCAGGAGTTTCTGCTTGGAACTTGCCTCCAAAACCAGAAAGGTAAAGTTCCATGCAAAACAGGATATTGATGGAGTCAGAGTCACACCTCACCAGATACTTATTACAAATGGGAAAAAAAAAAAAGCAACTTCCCAAAGGAGTAACTTAGCAGGGTGATCACCTGTTAACAAGCCACCATCTGTGCCTTCTGGGGGGCACTGAGGATTACTCTGTGGGATCCCTGCTACAGGTGCTGGATCTAAATCTAACCCTCAGCACATATTAGACAAATCAAGGCTGAGGACCCCCAAAATTGGCCTGTATTAAAAAATGTAAACATTAAAAAAAAAATCCTCAGAGACTTCAAGGAAGACTGAAGAATGCTCCATATTAAAGTAGACTAAAGAGACATGACAATGAAATCCAAGAACCAAGATTTTCCTTTGCTTTAATGGACATGACTAGAGTAACTCATGAAGGGATGAAGCGATGCCTGGGTGGCTCAGTCAGTTAAGTGTCTGCCTTAGGCTCAGGTCGTGATCCCAGGGTCCTGGGATCGAGTCCTGTATGGGGCTCCTTGCTCAGCAAGGAGCCTGCCTCTCCCTCTGCTTGTGCTCTCTCTCGCTGACAAATAAATAAAATAAAAAAAAAAAAAGTTTTCTTTAACAACAAAAAAATAAGGAGTAACTCATGAAACTTAAATAAGGTCATCTATAGAACAGATAAGCAATTCTCACACTTCTAGTCTCAGAATCATGTTATACTCTTAGAAATTGTGGAGGACCCCCCATTTTTGTTTACATTCTATCAGTATGTGCCAGTAGGTATTACAATTAAAACATTAAAAAATGTTTGATACACTAAAAAACAATGTACTTGTTTAACAAAAACATTTATGAAAAATGGCTAAAATTTCTAAAACAAAAATAGTGAGAAGTTGGCATATTTTCACCGATTACTTAATGTCTGACTTAAAGACAGCTGGATTCTCTTAGCTGCTTTTGCATACAGTATATTATGATATATTGTTTTAAGTATATATGAAAACAAATCCTGCCACAAACAGGTGGTTGAAAGGGGAGAGTATTGTAATATTAAGCCTTTTCAGAGAACTGTGGATATTCTTTTCTGATACTATGCTAAGTACCACTTGACAAATGGTAGTTTCATTTCTTTTCTTTCTTTTTTTTAAAGATTTTATTTGACAGAGAGAGAGACAGCCAGAGAGGGAACACAAGCAGGGGAGTAGGAGAGGGAGAAGCAGGCCTCCTGCCGAGCAGGGAGCCCGATGCAGGACTTGATCCCAGGACCCCAGAATCCTGACCTGAGCTGAAGGGAGATGCTTAACCAACTAAACCACCCAGGTGTCCCGACAAATGGTAGTTTCTTAAAGGTTAGTTGCAATGTGGACTATGAATCCTTACCAATGAGCTTTTTGTACTCCATACATTTGTGAGAGAAAGTCCTGTGTTTTTTTGTTTTATTTTAAGCTCTAGGCCCAAAATGGGGCTTGAACTCACGACCCTGAGATCAAGAGTCGCGTGCTTGGGACACCTGGGTGGCTCAGTCCGTTGAGTGGCTGCCTTAGGCCTGGGTCATGATCCCAGGGTCCTGGCATCGAGTCCCACATCTGGCTCCTTGCTTGGCGGGGAGCCTGCTTCTTCCTCTCTCTCCGCTTTGTGCTCTGTGAAATAAATAAAATCTTTTTTTTTTTTTTAAAGGTTTTATTTATTTATTTGAGAGAGAGAGAGAGAGAAACAGCATGAGAGGGGAGAAGGTCAGAGGGAGAAGGAGACTCGCTGCTGAGCAGGGAGCCCGATGCGGGACTCGATCCCGGGACTCCGGGATCATGACCTGAGCCGAAGGCAGTTGCCTAACCAACTGAGCCACCCAGGCGCCCGAAATAAATAAAATCTTAAAAAAAAAAAAAAAGAGTCGCATGCTCTACCAACTCAGTCAGCCAGGCAGGTGCCCCTAAAACCTGTGTTTTAAGAAACACACGCTGAAGTATTTAGGGGGCAAGGAGCACATTTCTGCAAATTACTCTCCGGGAACAAAATGTAGACAACACCTATACGGATGCATATGTGTATATAAATATAAACAGAGAAGGACCAAAGTAAATGTGGCAAAATGTTAACATTTCGGTAATCAAGAACAGAGCAACACTTGGTACTGTTCTTGTACCTTTAAGTCTGAAATTATGTCAAAATAAAAAGTTAAAAGAAACAAAAAAAACAACCTCTTACCAGAAACTACATGATCCTATTTTTGTTCTTCCAACAGCTTGTGTTTCATTAGGGGAACTTAATGCACCCCCCTTGTTTCTCCACGCCCTTGAAATCGGGTCCTGCAGCTAAGTCTCCCTGACAAAATGATGGCTGCAATAGCAGACACTGGTAATCCCACCTCCACTTCTGACTCTTCGTCACATTTCTATCTTGCTCTAAATCATGATTTTAAAGTGGGTTTATGAGGCATATGCATCTTAATCCCCCAGGGTGTTGATCAAAAATTGCAGGCTCGCAGGCTCAGTCAGAATCAGAAACTGTACCTCCAGCAACTTTCTACATTTGGTAAGACATTCCAAATTCTGGGGCACGCGGGAAGGCTCAGCATTAGAAGTTCTGCGCGTAACTGCGGGGAGGCCACAGGAGTGGGTCCCCTTCTTTCTCCACCCATCAGGCGCTGCCTCCGGGGCGCAGACAGGGCTGTGGCGGGGACGCGAACACGAGACACCGCAGCGGTTGGCGGGCTTCCCGGGGAATGAGATCATAAAGCACCCAGTCCTGTTAGGTCTGGGGGAACTGAAGTTTTCTGGTCTCACTGAAACAAACTTTTAGTTGACACAGTTTAGGGAAGAGGATTTTAGAAGGTTAGAGACTAAGAACCCCCCCGGGGAAGGGAGACTTTGCGGCCCCCTTTCCGCGGAAGTGAAGGAGCAGGTACACAGCTCTGCGCAGGTGTCCGGAGCAGGCCAGAAGGAGTGATGGGGAGGAGGAGAGGCCACGTTTTGTCCACGTGGAGATCAACTTCCCAGCTACCACTCTTCCGCTGGTTTTTCCACAACAGTACTGGAGAGGACTTGTTGGGCTAGCGTATTTGGTTTTAACTTCTGCTGTAATTGTAGAACACTTAGTTCTACAGCATGGTGTCTGGGTTGAACTGTGTTCCTCAGAAAGGTAGGTGGAAGCCTTAACCTTTAGTAACCCTGATAGGACCTGAGGACAATGCGTCTAGTTTGTGGTACTTTGTTATGGCAGTCCTAGGAAATGAACGCACAGGGGTACCCCTAGGAATTTCAGGGTTTCGTTTTGTTATTTTGGCATACCATTTATTCTTCTTTTTCCTGAGGAAACGGCATTCTCCTCTCCTTGGCTCTCATCTGGTGGTGAAGGAACTTCTGCAACTGTTCTGAGATCCTGGTTTTCCTGCTTCTCTTGATTCTGCAATTCAGTGTGATCACTTATTTTTATCTCTGAATCATCCTGCTACAAATGTTAAAAGGGAATAAAGGATTTAAATGATAAAAAGTCACCACTGCCTTCTAAAGACAGACACCCACACTGAAAAAGGGCTAAAGGAAGAAAACTAGGAGAATTAGATTTCTGGGGGGCAGAGTTGGGAACAGGACATACTAGGGGGCCACTGAAAAGCTTAAAAGGCAAGATTAGCTCTCCTAGGGACTATATGGAGTTAGAAAATAAAAATTAGGACTGTGTCTTGTAAAGTTACATTTGAATGAGATGATAAAAAAGAATAAAATCAGAGTCCTCTCAAAGTAATTGAGGGAAGCCCCTGGCTAATCGTCTGACCATTATGCTGAATGACCAACTGAAGAGTGATCAACTAGGTCTGAGGCTAGTTGAAGAGGAAAAAAAAAACTTATGTTGGTTTCTCTTCCCTTCTTACTAGCCCTCACTTAAATGAGCACTTAATTCTTTCATATTTACTCAATATTTAATTTGTGCTCAATCCTCAGTGAGTGCTTCTCACTCTGTATGATGACCAGTCTAGACTCGGGTCTGTGCTTTCATGGAGCTGACAGCACACAGAGTTTACAACCACTGGATGTCATGAGGAAATTCAAAGAGAAAGTTTCCTAAGAATATACCCATTTTGGCACAGGTGGTGGTCAAAATTTGCACACATCCATTCACCTGGGAGTCAGGGTTCCTGTGGACTGTCCTGCACCTTCTCCTGGTTTTGGTGCCATGGTCAACCGGCTCCCTCTCAGCTTGTTCCTGGCTGCCACTCTGCATCTCAGCCTCATCACAAGACGATGCAGAAGTTTGACTTCCATCCTGAAAAGAAAGGCATTCATCTGCCATGTCCTATTTTTAGAGTTATGATGTTCAGGAAGAATCAGAATTTAAACTGAATAAAAAACATTTTACAAAAGGTAATTTTAAAACTCTCTTATACTAAAGGTATAGGCCAGGACAAGAATTTTAGAGCATTTGAAAAGAAACAATCAGGGGCACCTGGGTGACTCAGTCGGTTAAGCGACTGCCTTTGGCTCGGGTCATGATCCCAGGGTCCTGGGATCGAGCCCCGCATCAGGCTCCCTGCTCCGTGGGAAGCCTGCTTCTCCCTCTCCCACTCTCCTTGCTTGTGCTCTCTCTCTTTGACAAATAAATAAATAAAATCTTAAAAAAACACAAAAGAATCACATTTAACTACCCCAGCTTAAAAACTAGGCTAGAAAAGCGTTCCAAGTTTTCTTAATGTGAGTAAATAAGCAAATTAGCATTAACTTTTTGAATATACACAAAGCATAGTACTAGGCAGTATGCTCTAATAACTATAGCTAATATCAAAAATTTATTGGGCTAAGTATTCACATGGGTTATCTCATTTATTCCTCAAAGCCTATGTGAGAGGTATTAACATTATCCCCAGTTCGGAGGGGGAACTGAGGCTTAGAGAATCTAAAGTAACTTGCCCAAGGCCAAAACAAGGGAGTAGGGTAAGAGTGACACGTGTGCCACCATAAACTAAGAGAGCCCCGGTATCAGAACGGTGTGGTACCAGTGGCAGAATATCCCTAACAGAGTCTGCGAACGTAGAACTCACTGTTCCGTAAGTCGCACTTCATACTAATGGGGGAAGACGGGATTCATGATTCAACACAGGATGCAGAGAAAACTAGCCATGCTTTTTTTATCTTTTTGGTGGGGGGAGGGAAAAGCAGCCCGATTTTCTTTCACACCAAAACACAATCTGGATGGGTCAAAGATTTGAACGTAAAAATGAAGCTATCGAAGCACTAGGAAAAAACAAGTAAGTGAGAAATGATCATGAGTATGAGGAAGGCCTGTCTTCACATAGGAGACGCTCGATTTGCTTTTGGTGTTTTTGTTTTTCTACATAAATTCTAATCAGGAAATAAACTAATATTACACACTGGTGGCTGAAATAATTAGGAAGTACTGAAGAGATTCTAACGGAGAGCCAGCCCTCCCATTTCTGGGGCCTCGCTCCAGGCGGGTCCTTCCGCATCACGCGTGGGCTGCCGGTGGGCCATGCGTTCGTACCCGCGGCAGCTGTTTCCAGAGCCTAGCACGGGCCGCAGTTTAGCTCACTGGTCCCGCTCCCCTCTCCCATCTTCTTCCTAAGAGCACTGTACCCCTTCATTCTATTAGTTACCTTTGCTGCTCTAAGGGTTCTGGAACCTTTACATCTTGTCCCACACCTACACAAAACCTCCTGTGAAATCCAGGTTCAGATTCCTTACACCTCTTTTCACCTCCTGTCATCCTTTTCTCGCAAAGTCTGTCATCTATTCTCTAGGTTAACATTTATAGCTTGTTACATAACCTTCATTGAATCATCTGTGCCGTGTCTGTGTAGCTGAATTCTAGTTGATAAGTCATTAAGTTTTTTGTAAGGCTTTTCTTTTTGCCCCCTTCAAGCTTTTGTTTTCTGGGCCATCTGGGTGTCCTTCAGGGTCATGTTTTTATCTTCAGCTCTCTCACACTGCAGGCTTCCCCTCAAATGTCTGGTGACTGTAGGCTATCTATCCTACTTCAAAAAAACAAGAAAGACCTCCTCAGGGGCTTGGATGTGTGGCAGGGTCTTGTCTACTAGGGTCCTTCGGTGGGGAGGAGGCTGTTACGCAAGGGAATCCTTGAAATGCCAGAAGACAGAGGCCTTAGCCTGATGCCATCCAATTCCCTTACAGAGAAGCCCCCCAGTATTTTACACGGCCCTGACACCTGGCGCTCTGCACGTGGGAGTGGTGGCTAGAGTGCTTTGTATCCTGATTTTTCACTCCCTCTCACGATGCTGCCTGGACCCAACCCTCTGAGAGCTGATTTAGTGAGGCCTATATACCACCATTTGTAAAAGGCTCCTCAGATGATTCGCACATATATCCTGCAACGGGAACCACAATATAAATGTGTGGGAAGTCTGAGAATAAGGAGCTCAGAGAACGGCAGGTTTTAGACAGAGGTAAAATATAACAAAACTGAAACACTTGCAAATGATGTAAGGTCCAGGACGAAGAGTGGCAAGCAAAGCTACAGGAGCTAAGGAACAAGGAGACAAGCGTGGTAAAGGACATCCAGATGCACCTGTGAATTCACCCCAAAGAAGGTCAGAAAATGACAGGTGAAAACAGGTAAATTCAAAGGTAGGGATACATGAGCGTAGAAAGAGGCTATCTGGAGCACATTTCCCAACTCCCTGGAGAGTCATGGGGAAGAAAAACAAACTGCTTCCCCTACACAAGTGACACCCTCATGTTACATGTATCGTTGGACTGCAGACACCTTTAAAGTACTTATTTAGGGCGCCTGGGCGGCTCAGTCATTAAGCGTCTGCCTTCGGCTCAGGTCATGATCCCAGGGTCCTGGGATCGAGCCCCGCATTGGGCTCCCTGCTCCGTGGGAAGCATGCTTCTCCCTCCCCCTCTCCCACTCCCCCTGCTTGTGTTCCCTCTCTCGTTTCGTCTCTGTCAAATAAATAAATAAAATCTTAAAAAAAACAAGATTTGAGAGAGAGAGCACGAGTGAGACAGCACAAGCCAATGGTGGGGGAGCAGCAGAGGGAGAGGGAGAAGCAGACTCCCCACTGAGTGGGGAGCCCGATGCGGGGCTCGATCCTGGGACCCTGGGATCATTATCTGAGCCAAAGGCAGACGCTTAACCAGCTGAGCCACCCAGGCGCCCTAAGCTCACTATAGATTCAACACTTAGGAATTCTTTCTTTTTTTTTTTAAAGATTTTATTTATTTATTTGACAGAGAGAGACACAGTGAGAGAGGGAACACAGCAGGGGGAGAGGGAGAGGGAGAAGCAGGCTTCCCGCCGAGCAGGGAGCCTGACGCCGGCCTCAATCCCAGGACCCTGGGACCATGACCTGAGCCGAAGGCAGACGCTTAACGACTGAGCCACCCAGGCGCCCCAGGAATTCTTTATCTGAATGAATTTGGACTATCATCATGCTCTGGCAAAATTTTTTCAAAATGGAATGGCCCCTGAGATGTTGAATTTGAAATATGGTAGATGATTTTACTCTATTAACTACCATCCAAACTAAAATCTTGATTTCAAATGGCACAATCATGTACCCTTAATCATTAAAAGAATTATATAGAGAGACGGAGACTTAGTTGATGTAAAATCTTAAAGCTAGAATTCAAAATTAATCCTTTTTTAAGTTAATCAAACCTGGAATCAAAAGAATTTTGCCCATTTTTTTTTATTTATGTTTATTTTTTAAGTAGGCTCCACACTCAGCATGAAGCCCAACGCAGGGCTTGAAAACACGATCCTGAGATCAAGACCTAAAATGAGATCAAGAGTTTAATGCCTAACTGACTGAGCCACCCAGGGACCCCAAAAGAATTTTGAATATTAACTAAACAGTTTTAAATGTTTATAACTTGGAATAAAGTTACAGAGATGATAAAGACGGGGGTGGGGCTGGATTTTGAATTCATGTTTATATTTACCTTCATTTCCAGATAGATGATGGATGCTCTTCAAAGCCCAGGGCCTTAAGGCCTTTTTGGATTTTCCTCTATTTCGAGTTTAGAATCCTGGCCCTAACGCAGCATCCACGGACTATGTCAGGCCCTGTGAAAACCTTCAGTCTAAGGCCCCCTCCCCCATCACTCTGGTTTCCAGTTCACCACAAGCCACTCTCACAGGCCCCCTAACATTCAATTCAGCAGAGCAGATGTTATTTCCATTTAAAGAATAGGAAACTGAGAATTAAGGCATTTGAGTTTTGCAAGATCACATAAAAAGAAATGACAGAATGCTACTTAACCTGGATTTTGGGGGCTTCGAATCCTGTTCCTTCCTTGCTGATACCAAGCTAGCTCTTGTAAGTTCTGGCAACTAGTAATTAATTAACCTTTGCATTTTTATGAGAATATCTTATTCAACAGGTTACTCACTACTAGGTAATTTCTTTATAACAAATATCAAAGGATTTATTTTTACCAATAATGATCCCTTTGGGGATAAATAGCATGTCTTAAGTCATCACTAGCTGTGTTTACCACTCATTAAATATAATTGTTTTAGTATTTAACAGGTGTTAAAAAATATTACTTACCCGATTATCATCTTCTTTTTTTACCTCGTGTTTAAGGTGGGCTTTCAAGGCTTTTAACAACTTGTCTGCCTGCAGGAGAGTTAAAGAGTTTATCAGTAGGGCCAAAAATCAAGTAAGCAAAAAAGAAAGGTTAGTAACTTTCCCTTTTTTAAGGATAATTATTCTCCTGTTCTTGTACTCCTCAAATGTCCTCTGGGCAGGCTCCGGATTACCAAGACAGAATTGCCGCCCCCGATTTCACACAACAGGGACGTCAGACAGGGAAAGAGGCAATGACGACAGACACACTGGGCTAAGCACCAGCATGAGGACGCCCAAGCTGTTGTGCAGAACACAGGTGGGCTCGGCCAAGGTCTGGACTGCCGGGATAGACTTGAGCAGGTAACTGGCCACACCAGTTCTAAGACAAAGACATGATGTCTGTAGCTGCTGAGGTCTGAAAGATGAACGTGACAGCGGTGGCTGTCAGGGAAGGGGTAAAGAAAATGCATGGAAAGGCAAGAATGGAGTTTGGGGAACTCAAGTTCAGTGTGGCTGGAGCATGGAGCTGTTCAGGGAAGGGGAGAGAAGGCACTGGGAAAGTGGACAGGGGCCGATCCCGCCAGGCTTTGTAAGGCTGTTAAGAGTAGGAACTTCACCCTCAGAGCAAAGGGCAGTGTCTGAAGAGTCTGTAGCAGTGCAGTAAGTGACCAATTCTCCATTGCTCAGAATGATCACTCTCGCAGGACAATGTGCAGGATGCACTGGATGGCAGAAAGACGGAAGCCAGCAAAGCGGCTGGGAGGCTGGTAGAGGAAACCGGGAAGGTCCTGTGGCCTGAGCTAGAGCAGGACTAAGGCAATAGGGACAGATTCAAAATCTTTTTAGGAAGGACAATCAGTATGAACACAGGGGTTGAGGAATAGTGAAACTATTACACCCAGGTTTCTGGCTTGGGCAGCTGATGGAACATGGTGCGGGTCTCTCAGATCAGGAATGCCAAACACAGGCAGGCTTCGGGGGGAGGATGGTTACAGGTCCCTGGGGGAAAAGGACTCTTAGTTTCTCTTCTCACCCCGAGAAACCTTCCCTTCCTGCATGAGAAATACTAATCTGATTGGTTATATTTTCTTGTGCTTGTAAAAGGTCAAGCATATTGGCTGGGTTGTCTTTTCCTCTTCTTCCATTCAGCCAGGCAGCGGAGAACCAGAGGTTTCCTTCTCACTGTGGGCCCAGCCACCACATCTCATACCATTTATCATTGGGCGTGTGTCCAGGACAGAATGGCAGAGATCCAGATTTGGTTTGGGCTTTAGGGGACAGGAGAGGCTGTGCTTAGGGTGTGAAGCACATCCCCCAGCTGGTTTACCATAAGTCCTAAATCAAGTTCTCAGGCACCGTACCAGCTAGTAATAAAGTGGTGCGTATTTTCTACCACTGTTGTTCCTTGAATCTCTCTTGGGGTCTTTTCTGTGAAGGGGGTGATTGGCAGGGCAGAATTCAGGCATTCTTGGTTCTTTGATCATTTTTTCCCCCAACCACTTCATTGAGGTATGGTCGACATACAAAAAGCTATAGATAGCTAATATACACAATGTCATGTGTTTGGTGATAAATATATACCCGTGAAACCTTTATCACTGTCATAAACTTATCTGTCACCAATAGTTTCCTACCACCCCTTTTGGGTTTTGTCTTTTTTTTGGGGGGGGTTTTAAGAACACTTCACATAAGACCTTAGCATATTTGTAAGTATACCATACAGTAATGTTAATTGTAGGCTCTATACTGTACAGGTTTCTAGACTTAAAATACCACAAAAACCTCATCAAACATGTGACAATGATGAAACAAGGTGCCTGTGGCAGAGACAAGGCAGGGCATCAAGCAGGCTGAATGCTACAGGCGATGCTCAAAGGCGCTGAGCAGGAGTGCACGTGTTAGTAGCAGACGTATTCCCTCATCCCCTTGGCAAGCATGTGCCATGCTGCACACTGTTCCAGGTGCTGGACAGACAGTGCTGAACCAGACGGACAAGGTCTCCACTCTCTAGGAACCTCCAGTGGAGGACTACCGGGCAAGTAGTCTATAAATGAAGCTCAAAATAAATGATCAGAGGTTATCAGAAAATTAAATTGGGGACTGGGGTAGGGTGCTACCTGAGTTGGGAGGGTCAGGAAAGGCCTCTCAGAGGTGGTGACCTTTAAGCCGAGATGTGAAAAAGAAGAGGCAGCAGGTGAAGATGTGAGGAAGAGCATCCCAAGTAGAGGGTGCACCAAGGCTTGAAGTGGGCTGGCGAATTATAAGGACAGAAAGACGCCAGTGCCGGGGAGCATGTGAACACTGGGGTGACCGGGGGCCGGGAGATCAGAGATGGAGCCAGAGATGGAGCCAGAGGCCGGGTCAAGTAGAGGGGTATAGGCCATGGCAAGGTGTGGATTTCTTCCTTGTACCTTTTTAATTTTTTAAAGATTTATTTATCTTAGAGAAAGAGGGAGAGAGCCTGGGATGGGGGT